TGTTGCTGTGTCCTCAGGAAGTTACAAACACTGAGTCCTCACATGGCAGGATGGACAGAAGAGCCAAAAAACGGTGTGAACCCTTGTCGATAAGGGCCTTCATCCCGTCAATGAGGGAGGACCTTCATAACCTGATCATCTCTGACAGGCTCCCACCTCTAACACTGCCGTGTCTCCCCGAAAGTAAGCCAGGGTCTTATATTTATTTTTCCTCAAGAAGGCACCCTACGGCTCATTTTCAGGGGATGTGTTATTTTTTTTTAAGTACGGTACAACCATCGACATTGATTCAAATACAGTGAAGGCGTCTTCTGGAACATCATCCTCACTCTCCAAGCCCGAATTCCGTCCTGAATGTCTTGCGACTCTGTTTCCTTTAGACCCACCGGCCGATCTCTCCCGTGGAGCCACAGAGCTGTCGCGGGCGGATGAGAAGGGCTGCTCGCGTCTTCCCGCTCCCGACACGCACGGGCTGTGCAGACGCCGCGTGGCCACGCCGCCACCGGGGCTGATTTTCCGGGTGGGGCTTGTATCGCGCATGCTCAGACATCCTGCTGGGGCTCAGTTTACGGGCAGGTCTTATTTTCGGGGAACACGGGAGGGCCATCCTCACCCCTCCGCACAGAGGAGAACTGAGGCAGCAGGTGTCGGGCGCGAGGGGCTTCGCCTGGCAAGGAGAGGAAAGTGGGTTCGCAGACGTCCGAGGAGAGCCGGCGGGGACTCGGGTGGGCCGGTGGGCCAGGCCCTGCGGCGCCGCCTCCAGCAGCGCCTGGGCGGGAAGCCTGATCCCGCCCACCTCCAGGCGCGTCCCGCCCACCTCCAGGCGCGTCCCGCCCACCTCCAGGCGCGTCCCGCCCACCTCCAGGCGCGATCCCGCCCACCTCCAGGCGCGTCCCGCCCACCTCCAGGCGCGATCCCACCCACCTCCAGGCGCTTCCCGCCCTATAAAAGGGCCGGCAGGTGAGCCCGCGCGCAGGCCCGCCCCGAGCTCCGCGCAGGATCCCCACTTTGAAGTTCAGCCAAGAAGGAGGTGAGCTTCCATAATGGAAGGAAACTTTCCTGTTTTGTGTGTTTGAGTGTGCGGACCTGTGTGTGTAGGCATAGCTACTGGGGGGACATTCCTATAGATAAAGACAGGGGGTTCTCTCAGGTAGGGCTTGGTCTTTCGTGACAACTGCACTGACCCAGAGGGCTTGATGTGGACTTGGTGTAAGGGTGTGGCATGAATGAGGAGAATTTTCCTGGGAGTCCATTGCATGGCTTTGTTGTCCTGTTAACTTTGTTTTTTCTCTTTTCTTTTCTTTTCTTTTCTTTTCTTTTCTTTTCTTTTCTTTTCTTTTCTTTTCTTTTCTTTTCTTTTCTTTTTTCTTTTGAGGCATAGTCTCACTCTGTCCCCCAGAGGAGAGTGCAGTGGTGTCATCATGGCTCATTTCAACCTCCAAGTCCTGGGCTCAAGTCATCCCCCTGCCTCAGCCCCAGAAGTAGCTAGAACTACAGGTGCTCACCACTGCACCCAGATAATTTTGTTTTCTATTTTCATAGAGACGGAGGTCTTGCTTTTGCTCAGGCTGGTCTCCAACTCCTGGCCTCAAGCTTACGGGATCCTCCTGCCTTGGCCTCCCAGAGTGCTAGGATTACAGGCGTGAGCCACCTCGCCCTGCCCTTATGTTTCTAGTAATTTGTTTTCTATTACATTTTATGAAAATGGTGGTGCAGGGCAGATTGGAGTGGTGGTAGTGCTGAAATTTAAAAGGTGGCTATCAAAAAAAAAAAAGAAATAAAAGGTGGCTATCAGCTATTTCGCAGACCCCTACCGAGTGCTTATTATACTCCAGCAACCATTCCATGTGCTTCCTGAACATTAAATTTTTTAGGCCCCATGACAACTCTGGGAGCTGAGTGCCATTAGAGATCAGAGCCCCATGACACAGACAGGGACTTGATGGGTAACATGCCTGGGGTAAATACCAGACGCCAGATTAAAACCCCAGGAGTCTGGTTTTGAATTCCAAGGTTCTAGCCATAGTTTTTTTTTGTTTTGTTTTGTTTGTTTGTTTTCTTTTGAGACAGGGTCTCATTCTGTCTCCCAGGCTAGGGTGCCGTTCTATCAAAGCCCACAGCAACCTCAAACTCCTGGGCTCAAGCGATCCTCCTGCCTCAGCCTCCCGAGTACCTGGGACTACAGGCATGTGCCACCACCCCCGGCTGATTTTTCTATTTTTGGTAGAGACAGGGTCTCACTCTTCCTCAGGATGGTATCAACCTCCTGACCTCAAGCGATCCTCCCACCTTGGCGGCCCAGGGTGACAGGATTACAGGCGTGAGCCGCCGCTCGGGGCAACATAATGCTTTTCAGCCTTGTCCTTGTGGCGTTGAGTGCGTGTCCCCAGGGGAGAACGTGTGGTCTGAATGTTGCAGGGGAGGAAGGGCGGATAATCCATAGAGAGAGAACTTGAGAAAAGGTCCAGATGAACACGAAAGAATGGACTCTACAGGAAAAACAGAGGCCAGTGCGCCCAGATGTGGACACCCCGCCACAGCCTCTGAAATGCAGCGGAGAGGCTCAGCGCTGGCCGGGAAGCCTTGTAGGACAAGGAAAAACTTAACTATGGTTCCCTGAGAGCAAGGGGGAGTCATTGAGTTAATAAAGTAGGGTGTGACAAGAGCAGATTAGCATTTTCTAACCGTTACTGAAAGCTTTGTGACAGACGGATTAGGGAAAGGCAAGAATGTTTCAGTTTTCTCCTTTGAGGTTTTTCCCGAATCATCTTTGTCTCATTGATGGATGAGATCAGGGTGACTAGTCTGATTCACCAGGTGAGGTTTGAGTAAAGTAGCAAAGCAAATGTTGTTCTCAAGGAAGGGTAATTAATTAATTCGGAAAGAAGAATTAAACAGCGAAGGTCGTGAGGGGATGTTTCCTAAGACATATCATGTTGTTGGCACAATGGGGTGGCCTTGCCTGTGCCTTATAACTGAGAGTTTGCACCCTTTGGCCGACGCCTCCCAGACCCCACTCCCAGACCCCTGGCAACCTCCTTTCCACTACCAGTTTCTAATATTTTATATTCTGATAATTATTAAATGAATACATTTACTATTTTAAATGAATATTTTTATTGAAGTCTAATGCACATATAGGAAAGTGCAAAAACCCTAAGTATGTGTCTTGGTACATACTTAACACTGCTACATGTGTAACTACCTCCCAGAGATGAAAGTGGAATGTTATCAGCTAAACTTGGAGATGTAGTTCCCTAGGAACGCCACTAGTTCATGCTGTGACACAGGCCTCCTATGAAGCCCTCCATTGCACCCATTTCAGTCTCTATTATTGCCCCAAAAGTAACCGACATCCTAAATATTAATACTGATAATATACCTTAAATTCACATATATAGGAAGAAACAAAATATATCATTTTGGTGTCTGGGTTATATGAGTCCACTTTATGATTTGGGATTAATCCAGGTTTAATGAAGGAATTCATTCGTTTTCATTGCTGTCAAGTATCTAATATTGTCTGGGCGTGGTGGTTCATGCATGTAATCCTAGCGCTCTGGGAGGCCAACGCAGGATAATCGCTTGAGTTCAGGAGTTGGAGACCAGCCTGAGTAAGAATGAGACCTCGTCTCTACTAAATAGAAAGTATTAGCCGGGCATGGTGGCGCATGCCTGTAGTCCCAGCTACTCGGGAGGCTGAGGCAGGAGGACCACTTGAGCCCAGGAGTTTGAGGTTCCAGTGAGTTATGATGACACCACTTGCACTCTAGCCCAGGTGACAGAGTGAAAACTCTGTCTCAAAAAAAAAATAAAAGTATCTAATATTACCCTTTTAGATTGAAGTTTAGGACCATTATGAATTATAATGATACAAGGCTTTTTTTAAGCAAAACATTTTTTTTCATGACTAATTGTTGAAATTCTTAAGATGAACTAGAAGCTGCAACAGCTGTCCTCTTGGGTTTCGGTGTTTTCCTTCACAGAACGGTGTCTGAATCCGCGGTACACAGTTTTTAGGTGCCTCGGTGGACCAGTCCCAGTGGCATTCTGCCTTTTAGCCTTGGCACTCTAGTTGTCCTTTTTCTTGCACGTGCCAGTGTGGTCTTCCCGAAGTGGGTGGCCTTAGGGCCTGTGTCCGCATGTGTGTGTCACACCGCAGTGCTTTCCAAACCGTGACAGTTGTCATCTGACTGTGGCGGAAACCAGAGGCATATAATTTTTGTTTGTTTGTTTGTTTTGCCGAGTCTCACTTTGTTGCCTGGGCTCTAGAGTGCAGTGCGTGCTCATAGCTCGTGGCCCTGTCTTCCGTGGTGATTACGTTTCAAAACAATGGCTCTTGAGTCTTTGAGAAAACTATCCCTGGGTTGTAAAACTGGCAAAGAGTTTATTCAGCATTTGAAAAGTTTTGTAGACATCAAAAATGAGTAAGGAAAGAATTTACAATTACAAGTTTTCTTAAGGTAAATGTTCTGAAAAAAGGAGGAGACAAGAGTTTTTTTTTTCTTCCTGTTTTTCACGAAGGAGAATAAAAAATTATTTTTAATTTTTAGTGTGTATTTACCCTTAGAATCAACTTGTCAATTTTCACACACAAGAACATAACTTGCTAGATTTTCCCTGACATTATATTGAAGGTATAAAGGAATTTGGAGTTAATTGACAGTTTATTTATTTATTTAATTTTTGAGCCAGAGTCTCACTTTGTTGCCCAGGCTAGAGTGAGTGCCGTGGCATCAGCCTAGCTCACAGCAACGTCAAACTCCTGGGCTCAAGCGATCCTCCTGCCTCAGCCTCCCAAGTACCTGGGACTACAGGCATGCGCCACCATGCCCGGCTAATTTTTTCCATATATATTTTTAGTTGGCCAATTAATTTCTTTCTATTTTTAGTAGAGACGGTGTCTTGTCCTTGCTCAGGCTGGTCTCGAACTCCTGACCTTGAGCGATCCACCTGCCTCGGCCTCCCAGAGTGCTGGGATTACAGGCGTGAGCCACCGCGCCTGGCCCAAATACTGACTTTTATTAAACATTTTAATGCACCTACTGAAATGATATCGTGCTCTCCTAGCATATCATATTAATGTAGTAAATTGAAGTGATTTCTTTTCCTTTTTTTTGACCCTGACATGATTCAGAATGAGGTGATGTTTTGAAGTTTAACCGAACTCTCCTGCATTTTGGAAATGAACGCCACTCGTTTGGGATGTGTTGTTTTCCTATCAGAAAAGCATGGACCTCACTCACTAAAATGGGCAGTGTTCCCTCTTGTTCTGTGCTCTGAGAGAATAGCATAGAATCTTTTTGGGGTAAAATTAGAGTTCCATCTTTCTTTAATGTCTGGTGTAATTCATCCATAAAGTTGTCCAAGTCTGATGTTTTGGTTGATTTGTTTTTCTTCAATTATGCCAGTAGTGCGATAAATACATATCTCTTCTATTTCTACCTTGCAGTCTTTAAGAATCCACTAATTGCTGAAACAAATCAGGGAAGCGTCAAAATTGAGTCTCTGAGAAAGCTTGATAAGAATGGCTTCAGGTTCCAGAAACTCATTTCAAAAATGTGAACCGACTGGGAATGATCTTGGATCAGAAAATCTAGAGTTTAAACCAACTGAAAGACTTGTCCAGAATGAAGAAGGGATTTCTAAGTTCTCAAGTACTCAACTAGACTCGTTTCAAAACAGCAATAACTCACTTGCAAGGCAGGAGTTGAAAAGACTGTATGAATTTTTTCACTCCTGGCTGCAACCAGAAAAGCACAGCAAGGATGAAATTATTTCTCAATTGGTCCTGGAGCAGCTTGTAATGAGTGGGCACTGCAATGACCGGTCCATACTGAAAGAGAAATGGGAATCGAGTGGCAGAGACCGGGAGAAATTCATGGAAGGAATGACCGATGATTGTCTGAAGTCACCTGTCTTAGTAAGTGGAAGGTTCTGACCTCTGAGGTGGGGGAAGCGGGGCGGAAGGAGGAAGTACCGTCGGTTGGAGATGCCTAGGAGTAGAGAAAGCAGCTATTGTGGGTGCGGTTATCAGTCAGGTGACACTCTTTCTCACCAAGGAGACTCCCATAGTCCTAAGTTCTCATGAAAAAAGAAGCAAAAAGGCATATATTCATTTATTCTGTAGGACATAAAGGAGCCGAATGTATTGACTGTTTAAGTTAATTTTTTTTTTTTTTTGAGACAGTCTCACTGTGTTGCCAGGGCTAGAGTGCCATGGCGTCAGCCTAGCTCACAGCAACCTCAAACTCCTGGGCTCAAGCAATCCTCCTGCCTCAGCCTCCCGAGTAGCTGGGACTACAGGCATGCGCCACCAGGCCCAGCTAAGTTTCTCTGTATATATTTTTAGTTGGTCAATTAATTTCTTTCTATTTATAGTAGAGACGGGGTCTCGCTCTTGCTCAGGCTGGTCTCGAACTCCTGACCTTGAGCAATCCTCCGGCCTCGGCCTCCCAGAGTACTGGGATTACAGGCGTGAGCCACCGCGCCCGGCCAAGTGAATTAATTTTAGTCAGTTATGGTGCCAGATTGAGAAATTGACATTCCAGCAGAGATCTCAAGGATGAGGAAGAAATACTTTGAAAAGAGCTGGTTCTTCCCTCAGGAAGCCTTAATCAGGAAAGACATAGTAACAGGGCAATTACAGTGGGTCATGCTCCGACCCCATGTTTGCAAAATTGCTAAAATTCATTTGTAACCTCAGAATCAAATGATGATGTTCTTCATCATTTGCATGGGTAGAATGGCGGAAAATTTGAGTCACCTGATATGCATGTTCCCAGATGAGGTTGAACGCTAACTTCTTATTTTAGCTCTCACTGTAAACAAGTGTCCTTTTCAATCTATTTAGTGCCTTATTTTTACACGTTTGTGCTTGTTGATGATTTTGTTGTTTAAAATGACAACCAAGTATAGTGCTGAAGTGCTGTCTAGTTTCCTAAGTGCACGAAAACTGTCATACCTTATGGAGATAACAGGTGTGTTGGATAAACTTCATTCAGGCATGAGTTATGGTGCTGTTGGCTCTGGGTTTGGTGCTAATTAATCAAGAATATATATTAAGGCCGGGCGCAGTGGCCCACGCCTGTAATCCTAACACTCTGAGAGGCCGAGGCGGGCGGATTGCTCAAGGTCAGGAGTTCGAAACCAGCCTGAGCAAGAGTGAGACCCCCGTCTCTACTAAAAATAGAAAGAAATTAATTGGCCAACTAATATATATAGAAAAAATTAGCCGGGCATGGTGGCGCATGCCTGTAGTCCCAGCTACTCGGGAGGCTGAGGCAGCAGGATTGCTTGAGCTCAGGAGTTTGAGGTTGCTGTGAGCGAGGCTGACGCCACGACACTCACTCTAGCCCAGGCAATAAAGCGAGACTCTGTCTCAAAATATATATATATATATATATTAAGCAAGGTGTCTTCAAATACATACATAAAACAAGGTTAGGTATTATTGATCAGTAGACCAAAATATTGTGGCCAGAAACTCTAGGAAAAACTGTATTTTCTGTAGGGGCAATGAGTTCATACTTACAAATTCAGTATCTATGTTGTTAGAACATAACAACAGCTTGTGAACGAGAATAACACCATCAGAAATAAGGACAGAACAAAAATATGTGGTATTCCATAGTTGGGAGCTTGTGAGAGGCTGGTGGGCAGGTCTTCCAAAAAGGCCTCTGTCACATAACACATTCAGATACAACAATGCTCGGCTCTGTTTATAGGTCCACGTCTGCATGCAGGGACAGGAAGCTCTCTTTTCTGAGAATATGCCCTTGAAAGAAGTCATTGTTCATCTTACAAAACAGTTGTCAGCGGGAGCCCCGACAGAAGAGAACATGGGATCACACTTCCAGACTCCCCATGGTACAGGACAAGGTGGGTGAGGCAAATCTGCACACCACAGGGGTGTTATGCCCCTTCTTGGATGCATCTTCATCGAGTAACTTCTTTATTTTCACAGGACAAGAAGATAAAGAAGACGGCTGCAATGTGTCTATGAAAACTACTCAAGTAAATGACAGTATTGCTAGTCAAGGCAATCGAATATCCTCCTTACTCATCATCCAGAAAGAGAGCGGTCCCAGGCCTGCAGGGGAAGGTGTTTCTTGTGAAAACCCGCACAACTTCAGAAGAGAAGGGCGAGGCATCTCCACGCCCCGGAAGGGGCCCCCTTATGAAGACGGCCCTGTGGATGCGGGGCCGGGGTCTCTCCCCAAGCCAAGCCAGGCCTCCCCCGAGCCTGCTGCTGGCGACCAGGGCGACGAGGGCGACACCACACGTCGGGTACACCAAGAAAGAGTACAGGGGGCTCCAAAGTCACACCAATGTGAGAAATGTCCTAAGACCTTTAAATATCTCTGTCACTTCTTAGCCCACCAAAGAAGACACAAAAATGAGAGGCCATTTGTTTGTTCTGAGTGTCAGAAAGGCTTCTTCCAGGTGTCGGACCTGCGTGTGCATCAGAAAATTCACACGGGAGAGAAGCCTTTTGCCTGCAGCGTGTGTCAGAAGTCCTTCAGCCACAAAACCAACCTGCGCGCTCATGTGAGAATCCACACAGGAGAGAAGCCCTACGCGTGTTCCCTCTGCCACAGAAGCTACCGCCAGTCGTCCACGTACCACCGCCACATGAGGACGCACGAGAAAGTCACCCTGAAAAACGTTCCCTCCCCGCCAGAAGCTTCCTAAGCTACTGCCCGGTGTGATGCGTATAAATATGCATGCAAGCGTGTGTTCCGTGGTGCTTACCTGCTTAGAACATAAGGTATAATTTCCTGATTATGCTTGCCACTTATTGTCTCATTCTACTGAGACGTAAGGCTAATGAGGGCATGGAGTTTGTCAGTTTTGTTCACTAAAGTATCTCCCCAAGTGCTTAGAAAAGTGGCTGACACATTTCCAGTGGCCAATAAATATCTGTTGAATAAAGGAATGAATCTATGTTGATGTTTATTCCTTAAAATCCAGGAATGTGGCCAGGTGCCCGTGGCTCATATCTGTAATCCCAGCACTTTGGGAGGCCAAAGTGAGAGGATCAAGGATTGCTTGAGGCTAGGAGTTCAAGGCCAGCCTGGGCAACACAACGAGACCCCCCCACCCTGCCCATCTCTACCTCAAAAAAATAAAAATTAAAATTAGCTGGACACGGTGAAGTGTGCTTGGATTGCTTGGGCCCAAGAATTTGAGGTTGCAATGAACCATGATGGTGCCACTGCACTCCAGCTTGGGCAACAGAGCCAGACCCTGTCTTAAAAAAAAAAAATCCAGGTATGTGGCTCACGTGAGAAGATAGTTGGTTCCAACTAAGAGGACACAAACGCCAGCTTACCATGCTACAGTGAGACTTTCCTTGCCCCGTCCTCACCCCACACCCTTTCACTCTGGTGCAGCCACACGGCTCCACAAAACGGGGAGACGCGTCAATCTGGAAGCTGGCCTTGGACGATGAAATGGACCTTTCATAAGCACATGAATTATGACAATTTAAATTCACTTGAAATATTAATAGCTACATTTGAAGCGAATATGACTGGTGGCTGAAAGCTGCAGATTGCTATTTTATTGACAAATAGTTACCAGAAAAGTCAAATGTTTTTTCATTAATTTCTTCCAAAGATGGCAGTTAGCAAGAGAAGAGTAACTTATTCCTGATACCTGTTTAAAGGGTAGTTTGGAGAAAAAGAATTCTGAGCAGACCTGAGATAAAAGTGCATGTGCTGGTTGGTTTTGGGGGATACGTGTGTGAGCTGGTTTCTACTAGGGAATTGGGGCTCAAGCCCACAGACAAACTAGAGGGTGCCATAGAGAAACAGCTTAAATCATGGAAGCAGGCAACTCTGCGGCAAATTGTGACGCTTCCCTGATTCCCCCCGCTGCAGCCTCAAGACAGACATCTGGCTGTGAATAATTGTCACGGTGCAACCAAGCCCACTTATCCTCTTTCCTGGACTGTCTCTGGGTGTTTTGCTATTGTGAACATTTTTTTTTTGAGACAGTGAGTCTCACTGTGTTTCCCAGGCTAGAGTGAGTGCCGTGGCGTCAGCCTAGCTCACAGCAACCTCAGACTCCTGGGCTCAAGCGATCCTCCTGCCTCAGCCTCCCGAGTAGCTGGGACTACAGGCATGCGCCACCATGCCCGGCTAATTTTTTCTATATATATTAGTTGGCCAATTAATTTCTTTCTATTTATAGTAGAGACGGGGTCGCGCTCTTGCTCAGGCTGGTTTCGAACTCCTGACCTCGAGCAATCTGCCCACCTCACCTCCCAGAGTGCTAGGATTACAGGCGTGAGCCACCGCGCCCGGCCGCTATTGCATATGCTTCCTGGTACCCACGAAATAAATTTGTTCTTTGAAAAGATCTCTTAAGAGGCAGGGACAAACTCAACGTGGCTTTTTAACCCATTCCAGCATGGTCAGCAACATAAAAAATGCTGAATGTCCACGTCTGCTCTAACACTTGGTGTGGCGACCGCTTTGACCTCCCTAACCAAACCCTAGGTGCAGTTTTTTGGAGTCAGTGGGTAAGATAAAGGATAAATAAAGCTCCTTCCCTCCTTACCCGCATACAAGCGCAGTGCGCCTGGATTCTGCATGTCTAACGCACGTGACATTCCTCCCTGACACCCTGACAGGCTGATGTTGCTGGGTGTCTTACATGTCCTGAAATCAAAACTGCCGCATTTCCCTGAAAATAAGACAGGGTCTTATATTTATTTTTCCTCAAGAAGACACCCTAGGCTTATTTTCAGGGGGCGTGTTATTTTTTTTTTTAAGTGAGGTACAACCATCGACATTGATTCAAATAGAGAGAAGTCGTCTTCTTCCGGAGCATCACCATCACTCTGCAAACCCCGAATCCCATCCTGAATGTCTTGCGACTCTGTTTCCTTTAGACCCACCGGCCCGATCTCTCCCGTGGAGCCACAGAGCTGTCCCGGGCGGATGAGAAGGGCTGCTCGGCGTCTTCCCGCTCCGCGAGGACACGCATGGGCTGTGCAGACGGCTGCGTGGCCACGCCGTCACCAGGGCTGATTTTCAGGGTGGGGCTTCTATCGCGCATGCTCAGACATCCTGCTGGGGCTTGTTTCATGGGCAGCTCTTACTTTCCGGGAAACACGGTAGAGACGTTTCTTGGACTGCAGGCGGATAGAGATGTCATAGAGCACCATAGTAGGTTTGAGTCGGGAGCGATGACTCCCTGGACAGAAGCTCAGCTGTAGTGAGAGAATTGTTTGAAAGGCTGAAGGGGACCCGGGCTGTCCTGGGAATCCTTGAGTAAAATCCGGTCTCTAGGCTGTAAGTGCTGCCTAGAGAACCTTCTTAAAGAGCCAGCGGCTGCGGTGGCTCACGCTGTAATCCTGCCTTCTGGCAGGCGAGCGGGACCTTTGAGTTCAGAGGTTTAGAACCACCTGAGCACGAGCGAGACCGTCTACTATAAGAGACAATATTGGCCAACTAATATATAGTATACAAAATTGCGGGCGATGGTGTGCATGCCTGTGTTCAGTACTCGGGGAGCGCTGAGGCAGGAGTTGTGGAGCAGGGTTGGTTGCTGTGAGGCGTAGGCTGACGCCAGGCACCCTTAGCCTGGGCAAGTGAGATCTGTCTCAAACAAAAAAAAAAAGAGAGGCCAGTGAGTTCCTGGCGAGGCGGCAATGGGAGCAAACCGACCTGCTAATTCTCTCTTCAAATCCGGTTTTGACATTTTTATACGCCTGTCTCTTTTGTAATAGCCCTTAGGCCTAGAGAGGATGGGCCAGTTGGCATAGTTTAAATCTTGGAGATAACCCTGTTGTTTACTTAATACCACTTAAGTGGCTTTGAAAAGCAAAGCAGGAGGATTAACAATGTTTTAAATAAAAAGTCCTAAAAATTTTAGTTCCTTCTGTGACATTTTCTAATGAAGTAAATCAAGGTCTGTAGTTGGTTATAAACTGTTGTTTAAGAAGACTCAGAGGGGCCGGGCGCGGTGGCTCACGCCTGTAATCCTAGCACTCTGAGAGACCGAGGCAGGCGGACTGCTCGAGGTCAGGAGTTCGAAACCAGCCTGAGCAAGAGTGAGACCCCGTCTCTACTATAAATAGAAAGAAATTAATTGGCCAACTAAAAAATATATATATAGAAAAAATTAGCTGGGCATGGTGGCGCATGCCTGTAGTCCCAGCTACTCGGGAGGCTGAGGCAGGAGGATCGCCTAAGCCCAGGAGTTTGAGGTTGCTGTGAGCTAGGCTGACGCCACGGCACTCTAGCCCAGGCAACAGAGTGAGACTCAGTCTCAAAAAAAAAAGGGATCTTTTAAATCTAGTCCTGTACAGTGGGTAGTGGAGGTGGGATGAGATAGGACAGTGTAAGGGTGAGGGACTAATGTGTGGATGGGTCTCACCACCTGGTTAATTAGTCTTAGATCTTGAACTAGGTAGTATAATCCATCTGGCTTTTTTTTACTGGCAGAATAGGGGTGTTTTATGGAGAGCTAGTAAGGTGAAGTAAGCCTTGGGAGGAAAAACAAGGAATGAGAGGTTTCAATCCCTGAAGCCCTTGTAAAGGAATTGGGTATTGGGCTTGGCGAGGAAATGGGAAAGGGTCTTTTAAATGTATTTGGATGGGATAGTGGTGAGTGGCTATCGAGGGGGTTGAAATATCCCAGACTTTGGGGTTAACTTCAGATTCAGAAAAAGGTACAGGAGATGGAAGTCTGTGAGAAGAAGAAGGGTGGTATTGGCGGGGCGCAGTGGCTCAGGCCTGTAATCCTAGCTCTCTGGGAGGTCGAGGCGGGAGGATCATTTGAGCTCAGGAGTTCGAAACCAACCTGAGCAAGAGCGAGACCCTGTCTCTACTATAAATAGAAAGAAATTAATTGGCCAACTAATATATATAGAAAAAATTAGCTGGGCATGGTGGTGCATGCCTGTAGTCCCAGCTACTCGGGAGGCTGAGGCAGGAGGATTGCTTGAGCCCAGGAGTTTGAGGTTGCTGTGAGCTAGGCTGATGCCATGGCACTCACTCTAGCCTGGGCAACAAAGCGAGACTCTGTCTCAAAAAAAAAAAAAAAAAAAAAAAAAAAAAAAAAGGCCGGCACAGTGGCTCACCCCTGTAATCCTAGCACTCTGGGAGGCTGAGGCGGGCAGATTGCTGGAGGTCAGAAGTTCGAAACCTGTCTGAGCAAGAGCAAGACCCCGACTCTACTATAAAGAGAAAGAAATTAATTGGCCAACTAATATATATAGAAAAAATTAGCAGGCCATGGTGGTGCATGCCTGTAGTCCCAGCTACTCGGGAGCCTGAGGCAGGAGGATCACTTGAGCCCAGGAGTTTGAGGTTGCTGTGAGCTAGGCTGATGCCATGGCACTCACTGTAGCCTGGGCAACAAAGCGAGACTCTGTCTCAAAAAAAAAAAAGAAGGGTGGTATTTACCTGTGACTCACCATCAGCGGGTAAGTAAATAGTAGCATGTAATTTTGAGAGAGTATTTCTTCCTAATAATGGGGTTGGGCATCAAGGGAGAACTAGAAATGAATGACTGAAGATGTCTGAGCCTAAATGGCAGGTCAAAGGGAGAGTTATTAGAGGATGGGCGACAAGGCCATCAGCCCCCACAATAGAGAGAGAGGAGAGTCCTGTAGGTCCCTGGAATTTAGGCAGGGCTGAGAATGTTGCCCCTGTGTCGATGAGAAAGGAAATGGGCTCACCTGCCACCCACAGGGTCACCCGGGGACGGGATGTGGTGCCTGCTTGGGGCCGTCGTTCTGGGCACCGTCAGTCTTCTGCAGCCAGGCCTAAAAGGCTCAGTGGGGAGAGATGAGGGCTGTCCGGTTTGTTTGGAGGAAGGGATGTGGCTGTGCCTTGAGAGACTAAGCTGAGTCACCTTCCCATGGCCCCTCATTCCACAGAGGGACAAGGTCCCAGGGGTGGTTGAGGATTAGGACATTGCCTCGCCCAGTGGCCTGATTGTTTACATTTAAAACGGGCCTGGTGGTGTCACTTGCCCCCTTCCCCAGTTTGACTAGGACATTCCGGGTGTTTGTTGATGCCAACATCCGACATTTGGCCTGGTCTCTCGTTTTTAAAGTTCTTTCTCCTCATCCCTATTATTAAATGCCTTAAAGGTGGTTTGTAACAGACCTCTTTGTAGGGTTTGAGGACCATCCTCTAATTTTTTAAGTTCGAGTCTAACGTCAGGTGTGGCTTGGGAGATAAAATACATATTGAGAAGTAAACTTCCCTCAGGAGTTCCACCGCATGGTAATGTAAGCATGGGCCTGTTCTGGGACGGTGACTGTCCACACGGCTGGACCAGGATATGTCTGTGGATTTTATTGCCATGTGCCTGGGCATGAAGCCAAACGTCTCCTTGTCTTCAGGGGATAGAGTAGAAGAAAGAATAGTGTAGAGATTGTGCCAGGTTAGATCATAAGATTGAGTTAAATAAAAGAGACATGCACCCGCCTGATGCCTTCTGCCCCAGCCACTTCCCTGAGCAGGCACAAACCACTTGTGGTAGAGTCTGCAGCTCTCAGGACTTGAGCAAGAAAGTGGGTAGTACCGTGTTTCTCCAAAAATAAGACAGGGTCTTATATTTATTTTCCTCAAGAAGACACCCTAGGGCTTATTTTCAGGGGATGTGTTAATTTTTTAAAGTACGGTACAACAATCTACATGTATTCAAATATAGTTAAGTCGTCTTCTTCTGGAACATCATCATCACTCTCCACACCCCGAATTCCATCCTGAATTTCTTGTGACTTTGTTTCCTTTAGACCCACCGGCCCTGATCTCTCACGTGGAGCCACAGAGCTGTCACGGGCGGATGAGAAGGGCTGCTCGTTTCGAAAGACGTTTCCCGCTCCGCGACGACACGCATGGGCTGTGCAGACGCGCTGCGTGGCCACGCCGTCACTAGGGCTCATTTTCGGGGTGGGGCTTCTATTTCGCGAATGCTTAGACATCCTGCTAGGGCTTATTTTATGGGTAGGGCTTATTTTGGGGAAACCCGGTAGGAGGGCTGGGAAGAGGGCAAGGAGCAGGTGGAGGGTCAGGCTGAGGGCGTATTGCAAGGGTCAGGATCGGAGGTTTCCAGTTGGTCTGGAGCAGAGGGGGAGGGAGGGGGAAGGTCTAGAATGTAGCGGGAAGATCTGAGCAGGATTACAGCTCATACAGAGTGAGAGCAAAGAGTAAAAAGGCCTGGACATAGGGAAGCTCAGACCATTTGCCATTGTGGTGACAGAAATTGTAGTGAGACCTAGTGTTTTGAGAGGAGGAGTAGACTGAGAGTTTCCCATGTTCCTGGGAAGAGTAGGGGTCTTACAAGGCCAATTCTACTCAACTCTATGCGTCACTAGGATGAGGGAATGCGGGAGTGATGAGGCGTGAGCGCGAGTTGGAACACGGGTCCCTGTGTCCAACGAGGGCCCCAGGGGCCGAGAGCCCTCCACCTCACCAGCTGGCCTTTTGAGAGTCGAGACGAGTTGAGAAATGCTAGGGAGAGTGAGAGGTTGGGAAATGAGAAGGAGCTTATGAGCTCCCACTCACCAGGAACAGGATATCTCAGGGTGTGGATTTTGGAGGTCAGCAAGGCAGATCCACACCCCCGTCCGGTGTCTCTCTCAGCTTGGTTCAGGAGGGGCTGGGTGGACAGTTACCTTCCCTCGGCTGAGCTAGAGTGCTCCGCCTACACTCCAGGATCAGAGACAAGTTAGAGAGGGACTCCTGCCTGGCTTGGGACTTGTCCCAGCCACCTCATCAGAGACAAGGGAGGTTACTTGGCTCCAAGGGACTCTTGGTTGACCAGGGACACTGGCCTCTCTCAATTTAGTCAAAGATCCATGGAAACCTTACTGGTGACTCAGGGACTCAGAGGAAGGCAGGATTTGGGAGTGAGCCCAGCACGAGCTGCCGCTGCCTCCTGCTTCCCACGTTGCAAGCCTTGCCTGCTAGAGACCCAGAGGTCATGTCTACCCTGTGTGCCCTCCTGGGTTTTGGCACCAAATGTTAGGTCTGGAGCCGAGAGAGAGAGACAGACAGACAGACAGACACACGAGGCTTGTGTCTCTCTTTTTCATCTCCAGACCTAACAAAACCTATAATGACATCACACCTACTAGGATGGCTAATATTTTTAAAAAATGCTAAGAGAACAAGCATGAATAAAAAAGAAAAGAAAAACAGAAAATAACAGGTGTTGGCAAAGATGTAGAGAAAAAATGGAATCCTTGTACACTCTTGGTGAGAGTACAAAATGGTCCAGCCACTGTGGAAACCAATATTAAAACCAAGTAATCAGCAGTGCCAATTCCCTAGCCTCCTGTCCTTCAAATTTCCCTTAAAAATCCACAACCTATGCTCCTGAGATCAAATGTGTGGAAATAAAGAAAAAAGAGATTAAAAAAAATAGTAATGAAATATAATTTTTAAAAAATTCACAACCTAGAGTTTCTTGGGGAGATGGATTTAAGAAATTTTTCCCATCTCCTCATCTAGCTGTCCCATGATTATTAAACTGTTTCTCTGGGGCAACATTTGCTGTCTTAGTACTTTGGCTCTTTTCCGTGCAGCAGTCAAAAAGAACCCGGATGGGTGGTGACACGAGTACATGGGCAGGAGAGATGTTCTCTGTGGGAACCAAAGGCAGAGATGCTCCTTGTCCTGTGGGGGCGCCTCGATGGCGCCTCGGCGGCGTCTCAGTGGCACAACAAGAAAGGAATTTCCCCCCCCTTTGTGTGAAGTAGGGTGAGGCAATTAGCGAACAGCACACATCTGTGTATACTCATACCTCCGGTTATCTCTTGGGTTGTGAAGAAAGGCAAAAGGGAGGTGGGATGCGCAGGGATCGCGCAGGATACAAAGGAAATTAATCACTCCAAAGGTCAGCTCATGACCAGCGCGTGATTAGTTTGTGCGTTGCTAGGGCCCTTGGGGGGGGGATAAAAGGCACCCCGCAATTCAGGTCGGGGTCCTTGCCTAAGGAGAGCGACCACTGCGTTGGGGCTCGAGGGCTCGGACCCTGGCTAGCCAGACAATAAAACTCCTCTTGTGATTTTACATCCTCAGTGTCTCTTTCCTTCTGTTCGGTGGGGTTGAGTGAGGCCGATCCCTAACAGTCCCTGCTCCATGGTGGCCTAAACATCCCTCCTTATCTTCCACCTCATGGCTCTGACCTGCATCTTGTTTTGTCTTGTCCCTAACTGTACATAGTTACAAAATTGACTTTAACGCTTCTCACTACCTGCATTTGAATAGCAGTAAGAAAATGTTTACTTATTACGGTCCATTAAGACTAGACATATGTTGTGCCTCTACGTCTCTGTGGAACATGTGCACTTGGAGCTGTGCCCTTTGAGGTCATCTGAAATAATATTTTTGGCCTCGGGGAGCATGCTGAGCTTTGGTGAGTCCGAAATGTCTCTGAAGAGTCTCAGCACTTACTTAAGTGAGCAGCTACAGACACTACTCAGAAATCTGGAAACGGCCCCTTTAAGAAGTGGTGCGCCCCTCCCTCTCTACCGGAGGGAGACGGAGCCGGGAGGAGCCCGGTACCTGGTTTCTCCTACCCTGTGCGCGCAGAGGTCAAGGCCAGGGCACACTCCGACTAGGCCGGTGGAGTTTGGGGAACTACACTACCCACAGTGCAATACGCTAAACGGCAGGGCAGTTGATCCAATGAAAACTCAGGACAGGGACACTTCCGTGCGTGCTGATCGCGATGGCGTGGGACTTCCGGTGTCCTCCTCGTGGCGGTCATTTTGGCTTCTCTGCGGTCTTTTCGCCTCGGCAGGAGCTCCGGAGCGCTGCTTCCGGACCGGGGTGACTGGACGGAGAAGGCGCGAGAGGCGGATCTGAGGATCTGCGACGCCGCCGCGGATGGCCCGGCGAGGCACAGGGTAGGGGCCGCCGTGTCTGGGCCCCCCGCTCCGCCCACAGAGTCCGATGGCGGCGGCCGCGCTGAGGGCCCCGGCTCAGGTCAGTGCCGCGTCCTCTGGGCCTCACCCGTTCTCTCCTTCACCCAGGTCCTAAAGCTCCGAGTGAGGGCGCCTGCTCACGTCCTTGAAGCCCGGGCCTCTGTGTCTGGGACAGTGAGGCGCTCGTGGGTGGGGTCCCTATTTCTGACACCCAGTGTGACGGGCCGTGGGAGAGTGTGACAGACTGAAGGAGCAGCACGTGCAAAGGGTTGGAGGTGTGCCTGAGCTGGGAGGATGCGGGAACCTGGGGTCCAGCTTGTGTCTGCAGGAACAGTGAGGCAGAGTTGCACCTGAGGAATCTAACCTTCGTTCTCAGGACATTGGGAGCCTCAGAGATTTGTGAACAGAGAGGGACATAGTCTGAGATAGGTTTCTAAAAGCTTTCCAAAAGTTCCTCAGAGGGAACACAGACTGGAAGAGAGATGGTAGTAGGCACAGGAAGGTTTAGCTCTTGTCCAGCCTCACACAGCTGGTAAGAGGCAGTACTGAGGACTGAGGCACAGGGATAATGCAGCCATCCCAGGCTACCTGGCTCCAGCAGTGGGCAGGGTCATTGGGCAACCTGAGCTGTGGTTGCTTGACTCTCATGACTTTCTTCTTTCTACAGATTCCCATTACTGTAGAATCATTAGGGAGTCTGAACTGGTGAATGTCACTAATCCTCACCTCACGCATGTAGTCTGTGGGTTAGTGGTGTCTTTGGGTTGTTCTGACACTCTGTTACCCTTGAGCCCTGGAACCTTGAACAAATATAAAGCTCAGGGTCCTAAGTCTTGGCCAAGGGTTGTATAAAGTTGTTGGCAACCCAATAGAAATGAGATGTGTAATGTTGTCACAGGCATCGTTACCAATGTGTATATTGCAAAGGCTTGGAGAGGAGGCTGAGCTGGTTCAGCGACCTGCAAGTCTCCTTTCTTTCTCATGGAAACAGGGAGCAACAGGGCAGAAGTCAGATCTGGAATGGCTCCTTGAGAAGTTGAGTGTCCATTCTTTATGTGATAGTAACAATGGGAGGTTTGGAGTAGAGAAAGGTGATGTGATCCAGGTCTCATCAGGCTCCCCATGGCTGCAGCATGGAAAACAGACTGTAAGATGAGGGATGCGGTAGGAAGACCAGAGAGGAGGCTACTGGAATAGTCCAGGTGAATGTGGTAGTAGCTGGGCCAGGGTGGTGGCTGTGGAGATGGGAGAATTGGTTGGATCTAGATCAGTTTTTTAAGTAGGGCTACCTGAATTTTCTAATTTTGCAAAAGATGAGAGAGAGAGGTCAGGGATGATTTGAAGGTTCGATTTTGGCAGCTGGAAGGATGGAAGGTCCATCAACTGAGATCGGGAGGTTCATAGTAGGTATAATTTCGATGGGACTATCAGAAGTTTTCTTTTTGCCTTATTAAGAATATGAGAATTTTCAGAGAAAAGTTCAGGGCAACTGGAACTGTAGGTCTGGAACTGTGAGGAGAGGTTCAAAATGGATACTTCTCTAAAAAGTAGTGGACAGTATGTGGACCAGGGTAGAGCTGTGGATCACATTTAATAGAGGGGAAGCCTGGTCATGATGGTAATGATAATAGTTTCCCAGGAAGGGAAGGGGAGGGCCAAAGACCAGGTCTTCTGCTTGGGCCCCTGGTTGTGGGAATTGAGTATCATAGCACGGGTCCATGGGGAAGGTCAGAGAGAGAGTATGGTCTGGCATGTGAGGAAAGCTTCTCGGAGATGAGTAGACATGAAGTGGATGTGGAGGCATAGGAGTAATTCAGATAAGATGATGCCAGGCTGGTGCTTATCCACCTCTTATAGACTGGCCAGGATTTTATTGTAACTCTTGATGGGACCTGGGGTGTTTCTGTCATGCTGTCAGGTTAGCTTAGGGGCATGTTTGGGACTTGAGCTGGTTAGAGAGCCGCTGGGGTTGGACCTTAAATGAAATTGGTTAGTGAGATGAAGGTTGTGACTGGTGAGGGGACAGCAAGTATGGCCTAGAAGTAGAAGAGAGCCATGAGTATCTGAGATCCACAGCTGTTTCTTGCTGGTTGAGGTTGAAGCAAGGAACAGAGTCAGTGTAGAAGCCTTCATAGTACAACTCTAGGCTGCCTCTGGCAATAGAGACAATAAAGGTCTGGGATAGTACTGAATCTTGTTTGAATTTGCCAGCCACTCTCTGGGCCCTATGTACTGAGTAACCTCCTTGGGGAGGCCAAGGAGATGCCCGTGGTATGGGGCAGGGAGCGAGCTGTCACTGTAGGAGTGAGGCTGTGAGAGGCATGATGGAAAGAGTGGTGTGCACATGGAGAGGAAATGTGAACTAATGGCCCCAGGACCCTGGCATTGAGGACATATGGGTGAAGCGTGAACCCAGACCATTAGTTAGTTGTATTTGGGATCCTGGATCTGGAGGATCCTGGAGGAATTGCCTTACAAGAGAGGGTGGTTGCTTGCACACCAGGCTCAGAGCTTAGATGGTTGCTCACTTGCCTGTTGTTGCTATAGGAGGCCACAGTAAACAGGGGGCCATGAGGAGAGAGTGGGCATCAGTATCATTGGGGCTTGTGTTCTCTGAGGTGGGGAGATAGGGAGAAGGGTGAGAGGGGATGGGTGCATGAGGGGATGAATTTAGGGTGCTAGGAGAGTTGCTGATCATGGAATGAACTGTGCCCATCATGCCACAGGTGTGTGATCTTTGAGGTTGTGGCTGTGGGAATGCAGTTGTGAGAGAGAGGTGTGATTGAAAGAGGGATTCACCCCATGGGTGAATTAGAGTCATAAGGGTGAAGGGGATGAGCCCATATTACTTTTTTTTTTTTTTTTTTTTTTTTGAGACAGAGTTTCGCTTTGTTGCCTAGGCTAGAGTGAGTGCCATGGCGTCAGCCTAGCTCACAGCAACCTCAATCTCCTGGGCTCAAGGGATCCTTCTGTCTCAGCCTCCCAAGTAGCTGGGACTATAGGCATGAGCCACCATGCCCGGTTAATTTTTTCTATATATATTAGTTGGCCAATTAGTTTCTTTCTATTTATAGTAGAGACGGTTCTCGCTCTTGCTCAGGCTGGTTTTGAACTCCTGACCTCGAGCAATCCACCCGCCTCGGCCTCCCAGAGAGCTAGGATTACAGGCGTGAGCCACCGCGCCCGGCCCCATATTACTTTTGTCTTGGAGGGATGATCTTGGGAAACTGAGGGGTCTTTCCTGATAAGACCAACGTCAAATCATCCACACCCTCTCCATGGCCACTTTTCTCCCTAACCAGTGTTTGTGACACCCACCACATTGCCAAGAGGCAGTGTGTACCCTAGTGCCAGGCCCAGCGCTTAGATATTGTCTATTCACCTGCCTGTTGTTGTAGAAGGACACAATATCAGTGGAACTGTAGGGAGAGAACAGGCATCAGTCACAGTGGTGCTGGGTATCTACTCTGAGGTGGGGAATAGGCTGGCCAGGGGATGGATATAGGGGGAAGAGGGATGATGAACTTGGGGTCTAATCATGAGAAGATGATCACGGATTGAACTATTGCCATTATGACAGGGTATGACCTTTGAGGATGTGGCCATCTGTTTCTCCCGGGAAGAGTGGATGCTCCTTGATGAGGCTCAAAAGCTCCTGCACCGCAGTGTGATGCTGGAGAACTTTGCACTTGTAGCGTCCCTGGGTAAGGTCCTCGCGTCCCTCCTAGTGTCCTGAGTGGTCTCTGCCTTCCTTTTTACTCTGGAATTAGCTGTGTCTCTTGGAGTGGAATCTTGCTTTTAGCCTAATAGATTTCATCTTTCTTGCCTTTTCCCTTTCAGAGTGACTGTCTCAAGATCCATGGTACTTTGTGCCCCAGCTTCTGCCCCTTTCCTCCAGCTGCCATTTCATCATGGCCACCGGTGCCAGGAATTGCCAGCATTGTCATGGTCACTGTTTATATGAACTGTTTTTGCAAAACCCTCCCTTTTTTTGTATGCCCTGATGTTGTAAGCCAGTACTGGTCACTCATTTTCCTCTTTCCTTAGATTTGCATCATTCATGTCCCATGTGGTTATAGGGAAAGCCCTGGTTGCTTTACACAGTGGACATTGTGAGATGGTCTCAGAAGAGGCCTGGTCCTGGTGAGTGGCAGCTGAGGAAAAGCAAGACATCATAGTTGTCTTCAAATTATGCCAGGAACCTGCAGTGTGCCCAACTATATTTTGGTACAAGTGTCACTGGCCGTAACTCATTTTTATTTCCACTCCCCTATACTTAATGCTTTGCCAACTTATTTTACCATCTGTCACTTCCAGCTTCTGGCTCCTCCACCCTTGTGACCTCTACACATCACTTGTTCCTCTCCACCACTCACTCTATAGTGTTCTTCAGTTTGATTCAATGTTGTGAGGTGTGCACACATCCTCAAATACTCCTTGATCACCAGCTATTTAGTTCCAGTTGGATTTTCATGGGACTGGACACCAGCAACCTGCATGGCGCACACACGCCATGCAAACAAGGTCCTGCTGAAGGCTTTTGGCAGAGAGTGAGTTGGAGACCCTGCTTCTCACATACTGTACCCATCCTTGTGTTCTTTGTCTGGTGAGGTCTCTCCTATTCTATAATCTTCAAAGGCTCAGTACTTCAAAGCAGCCTATATTCTTCAATCTTCCCCTGGTTCTCTTGTTCTCCATACAGTCCCACAGACGAATTACTTGTATCTCACACATTTTTGTGATAGATTTTTCCCCCCTCCCACCAAAGTCAACACACATTTCATCAGCACTTCTCTGATTTCAGGTTATTGCCATGGAGCAGAGAATGAGATGATAACCTCTGAGCAGAATGTATCTGTAAAGGGAATGTCACAGGTCAGGATTTCTGAGGCAGGTCCATCTACCCAGAAGACTCAACTCAGTGAGATGTGTGTCCTAGTCTCAAAAGACATTTTGCGCCAGGTTGAGTACCAAACCACATACCCTGTACAGAAATCATACTTGGACGGCACAAGCATGAGAGGCTTCTGTTTCAGTGCAAAACTTCACCAGCACAAAAAGCATTACAGTGGAGAGGAGACCTGGAAAAGGGATGTGGACCGGGCCATGTTTGTGACAAACTGCGGGTTCCATATGTCAACAAATCCTTTCACTTGTGGGGAGGACTTCCCAGCCACCATGGGCTCTCTCCAGCACCAGGTTACTCCCAATGGTGAGGAGCCACCCAGTAGAAGCAGCAAGTGTGTGCAAACATGTTTCAGTGGAAGAAATTATTACAAGTGGGATAAAGATAAAAAAGCATCAAGCCACAAACACACACTTGTTCAATATCAGAGTGTCTGCTCTGAAAGTGAGCTTTATAAGTGTAGCAAATATGAGAAGTCTTTTACCTTCAAGAACATTCTTGTTCAGCACCAGCAGATTCACACTGGAAAAAGGACATATGAGTGCAGTGAATGTGAGAAATCCTTTAGCACAAAGTGTCACCTTATTGTACACAAACAGATTCACAATGGAGAGAGGCCTTATGAATGCGGTGAAGGTGGAAAAGCCTTTATCAATAAATACAAACTCGTTCACCACCAGAGACATCACACAGGAGGAATGCATTATGAGTGTAGTGAATGTAGGAAATCCTTTAGCTACAGATCCAACCTCATTGAACACCAGAGAGTTCACACTGGAGAAAGGCCTTACAAGTGTGGTGAGTGTGAGAAATCCTTTAGACAAAGCTCTAGCCTCTTTCGACACCAAAGAGTTCACACTGGAGAAAGGCCTTATGAGTGCTGTGAATGTGGGAAATCCTTTAGACAAATATTCAATCTCATTCGACACAGGAGAGTTCATACTGGAGAAATGCCGTATCAGTGCAGTGATTGTGGGAAAGCCTTTAGCTGCAAACCTGAACTCACTCAACACCATAGAATTCACAGTGGAGAAAGACCTTATGAGTGCAGTGAATGTGGGAAATCCTTTAGACAGTTCTCGAACCTCATTCGACACCGCAGTGTTCACACTGGTGATAGGCCTTATGAGTGCAGTGAATGTGAGAAATCTTTTAGCCGTAAATTTATCCTCATTCAACACCAAAGAGTTCACACTGGCGAAAGGCCTTATCAATGCAGTGAATGTAGAAAATCCTTTACCCGCAAATCTGACCTCATTCAACACCAGAGAATTCATACTGGGTTAAGACCTTATGAGTGTGGTGAGTGTGGCAAATCTTTTAGACAACGCTCTGGCCTCATTCAACATCGGAGAGTTCACACTGGAGAAAAGCCTTATGAGTGCAGTGAGTGTGGAAAATCCTTTAGTCAAAGTGCTAGCCTCATTCAGCACCAGAGAGTTCACACTGGAGAAAGGCCTTATGACTGTAGTGAATGTGGGAAATCCTTTAGCCAGAGCTCTAGTCTTATTCAACACCAGAGAGGTCACACTGGAGAAAGACCTTATGAGTGCACTGAATGTGGAAAACCCTTTACCCACAAATCTGACCTCATTCAACACCAAAGAGTTCACACTGGAGAAAGACCTTATGAATGCAGTGAATGTAGGAAATCCTTTAGTCGCAAATCTAATCTCATTCGACACCAGAGAGTTCACACTGAATAAAGGCCTTAAATATGCAGGGAATGTGCTATTGCTTTATTGAACTTCATTCATGAACATCTATAATGGATTCTTCATAAATTTCTGGTATGTTGGAAATTTTGAGATTAATTGCATTTTTTTTTTAATTCTAAAAGCAACAAGAGAAAATAATTACAATTTCTAATGTGCCCAGGGCCATAGCCTGATGTCATTTCCAGTTTCTGAGGCTGAAGCCATTTCACCTTTTCCACCTGCCAGGTCCACACCATGTGCTCAGAGAAGAAAACCTCTGTACTCTCCCATTTGCTGGGAGAAATGAATAGACCAAGCCCTGGGGATGGGGGTCAGTCCTCATTTTCTTTTCTCTGACTTTAGGTCATGGACCTAATCCAGTTTTGGTGCAAAGGACTTGATCTGAGTTGTGTTGTCAGCTCACTAAGAAGGATTAACTTTTTCAGGGACATTGTTAGTCTCACATCATGCTTGTGATAAGATTTTCCAGGTTCTAATTCACCAGCCTGGAAACTGCTTGGTGCACATGGCTCTGGTTTATGATTCTTTTATAATGGTTTTGAAAACTTATTCACCTTTAATCTTGGGGGTTCTGTTCATTTTGTGGGGTGACTGGTAAGCAGAATAGTGATGTGAGCATGAAGGAGTGAACAGATTTTGTGGAGATCCCAAATTTTCTGTGCTTCAGAAGAGATAATGTGATGATAGAAAACAGCTCTCTGTCCACTATTAGTCTAATTTACATTATTGCCCAAAGTCTCGAGGTAGAGACTACAAAGTTTTATGATCCTATTTTGTGGCCTAGTGTCAGGATTTTTGTGAGATCAGAGGTCACTATGAAAAGGAGGCAGTTGTGACAACGCCCAGTGCTTCTATGAAAGTAAATTTTGTTCACTTGTTCACAAGTGATATATAATTCCTAGCATTGTTGAGGGGGAACTGTTCCCCATGTCCTGCAAAGGAGTCATGTGCCATAACGTATAGGACTGTATGGACTAGTGTTATTTCTTGTTAGACTACAGGGGTCACATGCAACTCTAATTAGTACAGAAATTCTGGGTTAATAGGGAGTGGAGGAGACTCAGTAAATTAGATGGAATGTGCCTCTTCTAAAAGATCATCGGCAAATGTTGCAGTAAATATGGCTGTATGGGATCTGTGTGTACAGAAATTCTCAGGATCTCTATAGCCATATTTCCTGTAGCTGAAATCATTGTCAGAAAATAATCTAAAGGTTTTGTGGCTTTGTGTATCCTCTCTGGCCTGTTCACCTAAAGGCCATTGTTATTGAGGTAGGAAAACAAGCATAGAGAGAACGATGGTTCTGTAGTGCAGGGATATGGTTTGTGACTCAGCCAATATTCCTGTTGATGCAGGTGGCAACAGCCTTCATTACTTACCAGTATTTGCTGCCACCAAGATAAGGTTGCCTCTTCCAGGGCATGAAGAGAAAGTTGGTGCAGTCTATGTGAGGTCACCAACCTGACTTTCCAAAAAAACAAACGGGGCATTACATTCTTAATTTTGAGCCACTTTGTAAAGCTTTATGAAAGATATAATTTATATAATTAATATGCAACTAAGTGTACTTATCCAAAGGGTACAATTTGGTAAAGCTATGAAACCATCATAATAATCATGAAAATTAATCTGTCATCCATATATTTACCTTGTGCCATTTTATTATCTCTCTCCCTGCCTTTCCCAGATGTCCAAACATCATTGATTTCCTTTACATTAGTTTGCATTTTCCAGAATTTTAAGTTTGTATATATTTTTTAAAAAACTGGTTTTTCTCATGCTATATAATTATTTTAAGATGAGATTCAACAGTGATGCTTATCTGAGTAGTTATTTTTATTGATGAGTAGCATTCCGTCCTGTAGTTAAGTCAGCTATTCATCATCAGTTGTTTAGGGACATTTGTGTTATTTATACATTTTGTATATTACAAATAAAGCTGCTATAAATGCTTGAATTGAATGAATGTTTAATATTTTAGGACTTTCCAAACTTTAATCCAAATGGTTGTTTCCTGTTATATACATGAGAGTTTCAGTTCCACTACATACCTGCCAACACTTCATATGGCCAGTCGTCTTTTTTTTTTCAGCCCTTTCCATATGTGTGTAGTTATTGTCTCATTGGTTTTATTTTCATTTTTTTTTTAATAGAGATGGGGTCTTGCTCTTGCTCAGGCTGGTCTCGAACTCCTGAGCTCAAGTGATCCTCCTGCCTCAGCCTCCCATAGTGCTAGGATTACAGGTATGAGCCACTGCGCCCGGCCTTCTATATATTTTTAGTCATCCAACTAATTTCTTTCTATTTTTAGTAGAGACAGGGTCTTGCTCTTGCTGGTCTTGAACTCCCGAGCTTAAACGATCTCCCTGCCTCGGCCTCCCAGAGTGCTAAGATTAAAGGTGTGAGCCACCTCGCCTGGCCTGTCTCGGTTTTTAATTCATTTCCCTAAAATTTCACAATATTGAGCATTTTTATGTGTTTATTTGGCATCTGTATATCTTCTTTGGTAAAATGTCTTTTCATATCTTTTTTGCTATTTTCTTTTGATGACTTTAACAAATAGTGCTATAACAAAGACATAAATTGGAATTTTACTCCTTCTATGATGTAACTTCTTTGCCACACTGAACAAGTGCTTTTATACTGGAGGAAAACTATTTCCTTAATTTCTTTCTTTTTTTTTTTAAGACAGAGTCTCACCTTGTTGCCCGAGCTAGAGTGCTGTGGTGTCAGCCTAGCTAACAGCAACCTCAAACTCTTGGGCTCAAGCGATCCTCCTGCCTCAGCCTCCCGAGTAGCTGGGACTACAGGTATGCGCCACCATGCCAGTCTAATTTTTTCTATATATATTAGTTGGCCAATTAATTTCTATTTTTAGTAGAGACAGGGTCTCGCTCTTGCTCAGGCTGGTCTTGAACTCCCAAACTCAAAACAATCCACCTGCCTCAGCCTCCCAGAGTGCTAGGATTACAGCTGCGAGCCACCACATCCCTCCAAGAAAAGTTTTTGTAAGTTAAAAAAGCAGTTAAACTTAGAAAATAAGCCTTTGAGGCCAGGTGTGATGGCTCACACCTGTAACACAGTAAACAGTAAAAGTTCACAGCCATCAATTTCAACTTTCTAAGTTGCTGATTATATTTAAATAATACCAAAATCTACAGGATTCTCACCAAACCCTCCCTCATTGCCCCTAGGAAAGCCTTTGGAAAAAAGGGAGGAGTTTATTCTAATAGTGCAAAGAAATGCTGTCTCCCTACTGGTCTTTCCTGAAATGCTCCTTCAATTTCTTCCTGCCCAAGTTCTCTTCCTTCTTCATCTACAGTTATATGTCATGGATTTTATTATATTAATGTGATTTATAAGAACAATGTATTAGTATTACTTCAATAAATAAAGAGAACTAAGTATGCATTTTGTACATAGATATATTTACTAAATCAATGCTATTTTCTCTTCAAAGGTTCCTGCCTAAGAGAGACAAAACTCAATAAATGCATTTGTGTTTAAAATCCCTTCCTCAGGTGGGGCAAAGGCAATATATGTAACCTAAACATTTGTAAACCCGTAATATACTGAAATAAAAATAATTAAAATAAAAAAATAATAAAATTCCCTTCCTGTAGATGCTCAGTATTGAGCAGAGACTTGGGCACCACCAAAGCCTCCTGTTAGTTGCTGCTGGGATCTTTGAGAAGGTCCTGTGTTTTTAGTTTTTTGTCTTTTTTTCCTATAAGCTGGATGCTTGCAGTAAATACTTAAAACTTTTAAAAAATAAAACCTGGTGCTGAATCTTTTTTTTTTTTTCCTATAGGTTTCTAGCACTTGGTTATGGTGCTGTGAGTCTTTATACTGCCTCTAAACTGAGGCCAGGCTTCTGAAATTTGGTTTTGCTTTCAGTCACTGGCCAGTTTGTTATCAGGTGTGTGTTCCCAGTATTTCCTCTCTTTTTTCATGTAATCCAAGGTGTCTTGGAAGAAAAGTCCCCAAGCAGGACTGTGCTTAGCCTAACCTACAGTGCCAAACAGGGATCGAAGGAAACAGTTTAGTGTATATTTCCTCCAGTTTTTCCAGCCCTGACCCAACCACAAGGACAGCTCAGTCCCCATCAATGCTCAGTTCAGTCTGTTGCAAGTTGCTCCTGACCATGCCGTGACTCAGGGAGGTGTACCTTCTTTACAAGGCAGGTGATATTCTGTACCATTCTCTGGAAGTCTTGTGGAAATACCTGAATTGTTTGTAAATTAGGTTATTTCCATTTCTTCAGTGAAATGTTTCTCCCAGCTCCCATTCTCTGTTGCGGATTTGCATCTGCACTTCATTCATTATAACTTGTTCTCTTCATATCAAGGCTGAAACAGTTTTTGAAGTTACCAAAATAAACCTTTACTAGAATTCTGTTTTGATTATTCTCCTTTGAAGTCCATCTCATTTCAGTTGTGTTAGAAAAAGTACTTCTGTTCAATTCCTGACCTGCAGTTAGGTCACTCCTTCTTTCCCATTGTTACAGACAAAAGAAACTGTGCCATCTGTCTCAGAATCTGGATTTTCTTGAGTCTAGATTTTAGTTTCTCTCTTTGTAGATTCCCCTCACCCCATTCTTTTTGATGAATTGCTTCTCATTCTCTGTAGATTGAGGAAATAAATTGATGTAGAATGATTTTTATCAGAAAATATGGCTCATTAGTGATTTCCATATTCAAAAACCACTTCTGTAGGCCAGCACGGTGACTCACATCTGTAACTCTGGCACTCTGGGAGGCTGAGGCAGGACCGATCCGCTCAGGTGCGAGTTTGAAGCCAGCCCTGAAGCAAGAGCGGACCGCCCCATCTCTAACTCAAAAAACGAAAAGAAATTAATTGGCAACAGAACAACGGCCCCAAAACAAAACCAACAGCAGCCAACCAAAAACCAAAACAGCAACAAAAAAAATATTACAACAAATTAGGGCATATATACCAAATTGACCAGGCAGGCCACCCCGGTGCGGCGCATGCTGCTAGCCCCCAGCTACTTGTGAGGCTGAGGCAGGAGGATCGGGCTCTGAAGCCCAGAAGTTCAGGGTTGCGTGAGGCGTCTAGCGCTCGACACCACGACACTCTAGCCTGGGTAACAAAGTGAGACTCTGTCTAAAAAAAAAAAACAAAACAAAAAAAAAAACACTTCTTTAACTCTAGCAAGCTCTCATTTCCCAGAATTGTGCTACTTCATTTTTTATCTGTGATTTCTAACATGATTCATATTGTCACCTCCTTCCTTCTCCCACTTCATCTCCTGTCCCCTCTGTCCACTGTGTCACTGTCTCTTGCTATATACTCTGTATTTGCTAGCTTCCTGATCCATGGTCCACCTGGTCACAGATAATTTCACTCATGAATGGAGTTGTGTAAGCTTTGATACAGTTATGAAACCTAATCTTTATAATGCAGTTATAGATTCTATTTATCTGTTGTTCCATCTGTCTTCTGAAAACCTTATGTTGCCTCTTCACATTGCAGAGCCGTAGACATTATGATGCTCTCTAGAGATGATGGCAGATAACCCAGTGTGTGGGAAGCTCTCAGTTCAGGCGAAGACTCCAAATCTCATGACACTATCTTGAATATGGTTAATGTTTCTTCAGCTGGGCAAGCAGGACATGCTTAAGAAGTTGGGATTGTGTTTCCATAAGAAAAAAAAAAATCTGTGACCTGCTGAAGAGGAAATAAATCTTCCCTTCCCTCTTAGATCAAGGAAATAAAAATTTAAGAAAAGGCTAAATCACTTCAGTAATAAGGTAATAAGCAATTTTATGAGTTTTAAAATTCAAATGTTTTCCAAACACTTTTTTTTTTACAAATTAGGCAGTTCTCATTTAATTTCATCCTAAGTATTTTGCATTACCTTTACTCTTTCCATTCTTCCTACTCAAAAATTTCTATGCTTTTAAAATTACATTTTTTTCAGTCCAATTAGCTGTGTAAAAGAGAACAAATATAAAAATAAAATTACATTTTTGTGTCTTAGTAACTGAATTACAGGGAGGGAGGGGATGCATTGTTATTATGTTAATTCAACTGTTTTAAAAATGGTAGAGGTATAAGGTGGTCAATGATTTAGAAATTAAAGAATTTGAAGGAAATGAGGATTAAGTAAAAATTTGCACTACTTAAGGGAAAAATAAAACAACACCTAAGACCTGTGGGACCATGGCATTTTCTATTGATATTTCAGCTAGTTTGAAATGAGACAAATATTTGGCCTCATTCTGTGGCTCTTTTTAACTGAAACCACCCCTCCCCCATTGGTACAGAAACCTCAATTTATTTGGAATGTATAAGAGCACACAGGTATCACCTGTGATATGGACTTATATCTATCACATTTCTAAACAATGTATGTGAAAACCAATATATATTTGGTTTTCTCCATTCCTACTGCCATGGCCATGGTCCAGGGTACCAACGCCCATATAACACAGCAATCATCTTTCATTTATTAACCAAAATTCCCTTATTTTTTTAAATTAAATACAGCAAAACAAATTATCATAACCATTTTAAGTGTAGAGTTCAGTAGTGTGAAATATATTCACATTGTACAGCCAATATCCAGAACATTTTTGTTGTAAAATTGAACACTGTACCCTACTTTCCCCTCCCCCCAGACCACTGCAACTACGATTCTACTTTTTGTCCCTATATGAGTTTGACTACTCTAGATACTTCATATAGATGGAATCACAGATATATGTGACTGGCTTACTTCACTTAGCATGTCTCAAGGATCATCAGTGTTGCAGCATATATCAAAATTTCCTTGCTTTTTATGGATAAGTATTTCATTGTATGTGTATATAATACTACATTGTTTATCCATTCATTTGTTGATGGACATTTTGGTTGCTTCCACCTTCTGGCTTTTGTGAATAATGCTGCTTGTTAACATGGGTGTACCAATATGTCTTCAAAACCCTGCTTTCAATTCTTTTGGATATATACTAAGAAGTGGAATTGCTGGATGACTCTACTTTTAATATTGTTGAGAACCTTCATATTTTATTCCACAGTGGTGGCACCATTTCACATTCCCATCAAGAGTACACAGGAGTTCCAATTTCTCCACATCCTCAACACTTATTTTCTTTTTTTTATTGCACCTCTTCGTATGCTTGTTAGCCATTTGTATGTCTTCTTGGAGAAAATCTATTCAAGTTACTTGGCCTTTTCTTTTTTTTTTAAGAGACAGGGGTCTTGCTCTGCCACCCAGGCTAGAGAGAAGTGGTGCAACCATAGCTCACTGCAGCTCTGAACTCCTGGCACAAGTGATCCTCCTTGCCTCAGCCTCTGGAGTAGCTGACACAACAGGCATGCCACCATGCCTAGTTTTTTCTTTATTGTAGAGATGGGGTCTTACAATGTTGCCCAGGCTGGTCTTGAACACCTTGCCTTGATCAAAAGTGATCCTTACACCTCAGCCTCCTGAGTCACTGAGATTACTGGTGGGAGCCATTGTCCCTGGCTCCTCCCTTTTGCCATCTTTTAATCAGGCTATTTATTTTTTTGATGTTTCATTGTAGAAATTATTTATATACTCTGAATATTAACCCATTATCAGATATATTATTTGCAAATATTTTCTCCAATTCTTTTTGAGGTTTAGTCTATGTGAATTTCAGGAGTGTTTTTTTTTTTTTATTTTGGGGGATAATTAGAATTTCATTTAGTGTAAAGAGTAATTTGAAAAACATTGGACTTATCTGCAATGAGAGTTCATATCCAGTAATAAGGTATATCTCTTCATTTATTTAATCTTTTTTTCATTCTAAGATAATACCCTTTTTTCAGGTTCCATGTTTTTATTTGTATTACTTGAAATTTAAAAATTAAGTTTAAATTCTTATTTTTAAATGAGTGTCTTTTTCAATACCTGCTGCTTGTATCTAGGAGGAACTTTGAATTTTTACATTAATTCTAATTGTGATTTATTTAACAAATTGTATAACTGGATTTGAAAATATTATAAACATTTTGCTTTATTTTTAATTTCCTATCATACTGACTACAAGATAAAATTTCTAAACAATTACAGTTGTGGTAACCATAATAATCTTGTTTCTGACTTTAATGCAGGTAAGTACTCTAGTTCAACATCTTTTTTTTGTTTACTTTTTTTCTAACCATCCCATCTCCAACATCTTGATTTGAAGCAATTCTTGCATACTATCAAAATATTTTTATAGAGATCATTAAGTATTGTAATCAGTTTGTTCATATTACATTTGAGATATTTATATCTTTATTACTAAATAAAATTAGTGAGGCTGTAATAGCCTTTTCTTAAAAAAAAGATAATATGAAATAATCACAGCAGTCAACAGGGTTTTAAATGTATGACAGAAACATTTAAATTAATGGACAGAATTTTTTAAAACTTGGGAATATTTAAATATCTCAGTCATTAAGCTTCATTAGATATACAAAATATGTACCGCTAAGATCAACATCTCTTAATATAAATAATAAACTTTTTTTTTTTTTTTGAAAGAGTCTCACTTTGTTGCCCAGGCTAGAGTGAGTGCCAGTGTCAGCCTAGCCTACAGCAACCTCAAACTCCTGGGCTCAAGCAATCCTTCTGCCTCATCCTCCCAAGTAGCTGGGACTACAGGCATGCACCACCATGCCTGGCTAATTTTTTCTACATATATATTAGTTGGCCAAATAATTTCTATTTATAGTAGAGACAGGGTCTCACTCTTGCTCAGGCTGGTTTCAAACTCCTGACCTCGAGCAATCCCCCCCCCGCCTCGGCTTCCCAGAGTGCTAGGATTACAGGCGTGAGCCACCGAGCCCAGCCTAAACAATAAGCTTTTAAAAAACATGTTTATAAGTGGGAAAGATTCATAAATATGAAGAGAACAGCTGAATTAAGCTACTTTAATAAAAGTAAAACATTTTTCTTTCCAGGGTCTGTTAAACCCTAAAAAATTCATCTTCCCTTAGATGGAAAGAGAATGATTCCCAGGGACTTGGCAATGGGGATTGTCTTCTTTTCCCATACTGGAGTGGGAATCCTGGGCAGTTCCTCACTTCTATTTCATTATATCTTCTCTGTGTCCATTGGAAAAAGTTTGATGCCCAAAGACCTGATTTTAAAGCACCCGACTTTAGCCAATTTCTTGGCTATTATCTCAAAAGGAATTCCTCAGACCAATGGCAGGGTTTGGGTTGAAATATTTCCTGGGTGACACTGGATGTAAACTTGTTTTTTACCTTTATCATGTAGCCTGGGGGATTTCCCTGTATACTACTTGCCTAAGTTGTTTACAATCACAATTAGCACCAATAACAGCAGGTGCATGGCACTTAAACACAGAGCCACAAAGTACATTGGTCCCTTCTGTTTACTCAGCTGGCTTGTGCATCTGCTTTTAAACACCATGAGAGTGACTGGTGTAACTCTCTAATGGAGTAACAGCAGAAATATCACTGAGATGTTGAATTTTGGGTACTGCTCAGGGTTAATGTCTGGCACAGTGCAACTCCATTGTATGTGTTCATGCTCTGCTTCAGTGATGTTCTGTCTTTTGGTCTCATGGCTTGGGCTAGTGGCTTAATCGTGAGCACCCTCTACTGGCACAAGAAGCAAGTACAGTACATCCACAAAGCTCACAACTTATCTAGACTCCCGAGACCAGAGCCACCCAAACCATCCTGATCCTAGTGTGCACCTTTTGTCACCTTATACTCGTTCTCTTCCATGCTGGTGCTTCATATGGCACTCTTTGATAATCCAGAGCTATGGCTGATAAAAACCATTGCATTTGTAGAAACATGTTACCCCATTTTTAGCCCCTTTGTATTCATCAGTAATAACTTTGCCTCCTGGCTTTATTTTCCCTAATGGGGGAAAAGGTAATTTTCTATAAATTTGTCACAAGGTCTGGTGGTTTGTATTCTCTGACATATTCATTAAGTTCCTTCATCCATTATGTAAGGCTAAGCCTCTACTGCTGCAGTCCCCAACTCCCAGGCTGCAGACCTCTGCTGCCACCCGCTTCCTTACCCCCATCTATGGAAAAATTGTCTTCCATGAAACTTAGGGAGGGGGCACACAGCAGGTGAGCAGCCTTCAAGCAAGTTAAACTTCATCTGTATTTACAGCCACACCCCATCGCTGACATCACTGCCTGAGCTCCGCTTCCCCCACCCCCCCATCTGTGGAAAAACTGTCTTCCATGAAACTGGTCCCTGATGCCAAAAAGGTTGGGGACAACTTCTCTACTGTGTACCAGACCCTATTAGGTAATGGCATAATAAATTAGGCAGGCACACAAGTCCCACTCCTCACAGAGGTGGCAACATATTTCAGTGATCTTGAGACACACCTTTTTCTTCATTCTAATAAGTGAAATTAGGAGGCATCATATACTGATGTCAGTCTGTGTGACTGACTCCTGCATTGTATAAAACATTAAGGTACCTTATTACAGCATTTTTCTTTCTGGATTGACCCAGCATACAGATTTTAAGCATGTATCTGTACAAATTATTACATAATTTAAATTAGTATAAAATGCTAGAAAGTCAAGTTTAGGTGATAATGAGGAAATACACCCACAGTAGACTTCAAGTAGTCTGAAGGCTTAGGAAAAGATTCCCTGAGAATATTACTTTTATGTTTGAAATGAATTTTCTGCAGTGATTTACTAAGTGTAGAGTGTTGGAAAGAGTATTCCAAGAATAGATAAAAGTGCATGTGAAGGGCTGGTGTTGGGAAGTGCTGTGAATATTCAGGAAACTGAGAGAGCTCAGACAGAATGAAGGATAATTCATATCAAGATGTTGAATTGAAATTGAAATTATTCCAAATTAATTTACAACCCAGTGTTTTCACTGCACTTATTTCTTAAAAAGTATCCTAAGAGCTATCAAAAAGATTAAAAACCACCAATACCACTTGCAAGCAAAGCCTCAAAGGCAGGCAGAGGAGTGGGAAAGCTTTATGTAAAAACGGGAAGTCTTCAGGTATACCCTGATTGGGAGGGAGCTGTTGGTCAGACCACTAGAAGCAGAACATCCTGCATGATTGGTTAGGAATACATATTTGGCTTCCTATCATTAGTACGAAGTTGGAAATGAAGATAAAACTTAGGAAAGCTGTCTATTATTAGTCATGTCTTGAGCATTTGGGGCTGATTGTTACCAGAGTACTGGCTAAGCTTTCTAGATTGTTGCTAGGCATAGTAGTCTGACATTCTACAAGCCTTACAGAGTTGGTTTCTTGGGCTATTACTATAATGGGTTGGCTTCCTGGACTGGTTTGTGCCCATTGTGGGTCAGCATTCTATTGTTATATACCATCTGGCCATTGTATTGTTCTCAGAAGCGCCAGATTGTCACAACTACTCCATACTCAGGCTTACCTCTGAATCCATAGCATACCTTGGCATGCAGGATACAAATTAGGACAACACCCTGCAGCTTTTCCTTGGAGGCCTTGGACAGTAATGCAAACTAGGCCCAAACTAGAAAGAGAGCTATATTCTGCCATCATACCATCCTTCCTGAGGCACACAAAGTTGGGATCCCAACAAAACTGTTCACCCTTTCATGTTAGCAGAAGCCAATTGTTTCTAAACCATTCCATACAGTGAACAGAATCCCCAAGATTGATGGTGGCTTAAATAATAAGGCCTTTATTATTATATAAACCAGGGCAATGAAAGGTAGATGGTTCACACAGTTGATGATTTGGAGGCTGGAAAATTTCATCAAAATTGTCATCTAAGACCAACAGTATCTGAAATAGGTAGTCCATCTTTTCATGTTAACAGGAGAGTCCTCTGGGTCAAATTGGATCAGGTCCATGCCCTGACTCATCATAGAAAAAAAAATGAGAAAGGAATAAATACTTGAGCTACTTACAAATTCCTCCCATGAGTGAAACAACACCAAGGGTCACTTACCTGCATGCACTGTCGTGGGTGAACTCAGGGGCATATAGTGAGCACTTGCCAGCTGGTAGAGGCAATATGGCTTCTGCTACAAAACTAGCAATCCACCAAGAGCCCTGAGTAGAGTAAAATGTACAATACAGCTCCCACATACCTGGAATTTATGTGGATGTTCAATGTATGAGGTTCAATTCAAGCAGATAGCACTCTTACATAAGGGATTTCCTTCAGAGTTGTTATACTGAACAAAGAAACTGCACATCCCTGTATACCAAAGGTGTTCTTCCCATGTAAACTTTGTGGCACCCAATGAGATAAGTCCTTCAACTGAATGCTTCCTCACATTCACTGCATTCACAGGACTTTCTCCAAGGTGCTAATTTTCCACATTTGCCACTCATAGGCCTTTATCGACTATGAATCCTTCGGTGTTTAATGAGGCTAGAGTTATGGCTAAAGTATTTCCCACATTCAGTGCACTCATAAGGTCTTTCCCCAGTGTGAACCCTCCTGTGCTTAATGAGGCTGGAGTTTTGAGTAAAGGATTTCCCACATTCATTGCATTCATAAGGCCTTGATCCAGTGTGAACTCTCTGGTGTTTTTGGAGACTAGAGCTGTAGGTAAAGAATTTCCCACATTCACTGCACTCATAAGGCCTTTCTCCGGTATGAACTCTGCGATGTTGAAGAAGTGCAGAGCTTTGGCTAAAGGATTTCCCACATTCACTGCACTTATAAGGTCTTTCTCCAGTATGAACCCTACGGTGTTCAATGAGGCTGGAGTTTTGGCTAAATGACTTCCCACATTCACTACACTCATAAGGTCTTGATCCACTATGAACTTTCTGGTGCTTTATAAGACTGGAATGGTATGTAAAGAATTTCCCACATTCACTGCACTCATAAGGCCTCTCTCCAGTGTGAACACTCTGGTGTTGAAGGAGTGCAGAGCTTTCACTAAAGGACTTCCCACATTCACTACATTCATATGGCCTTTCTCCAGTGTGAACTCTCCAATGTTTAATGAGGTTGGACTTGTTGCTAAATAATTTTCCACATTCATCACATTCATGAGGTCGTACTCCAGTATGAACCCTCCGGTGCTGAATGAGGCTAGAGCTTTGCCTGAAGGATTTCCCACATTCCCGACACTCATAAGGCTTTTCTCCAGTGTGAACTCTCCAATGGTCACTGAGGCTGTAACTTTTGCTAAAGGATTTCCCACATTCACTGCACATGTAACATCTTTCTGTAGTGAGGGCTCTCTGTTGCTGAACAAGTTTGTGTTTTTGGCTGATTGCTTTTGTATATTCTTCATAGTTGTGATGAGTTTTTTCACTGTGACTTACAGCCCCATAATTGCTTTTGGTATTTGAATGCTCCCCAGTGTGAGTGGCCTGTTGATGGACAAATCCCAACTTGGCCTGGAAGTCCTTCCCAACTTCCCTGCAGGTCAAGGGCTCCCCTGACACATGAAATGTGCAGGTCTTCACAAACAATGTTCTGCCCACACTGCTTCTGAAGTGTTTTTCTCCAAAGTGTTGCTTCTGGTGTTGATAAACATCTGCAATGAAATACAATTGTTTCCCACATGCCCCACACCTGCAGTTTCTGCCCTCGATGTATTCTCTGGGGCTCAGCCAAGTGTAAAATGTCTCTCAAAACCAGGCCACACGGCCGGGGATGGTGGCTCACGCCTGTAATCCTAGCACTCTGGAAGGCCGAGGCGGGAGGATTGCTCGAGGTCAGGAGTTTGAAACCAGCCTGAGCAAGAGCAAGACCCTGTCTCTTCTATAAATAGAAATAAATTGGCCAACTAATATATATAGAAAAAAATTAGCCGGGCATGGTGGCGCATGCCTGTAGTCCCAGCTACTCAGGAGGCTGAGGCAGTAGGATTGCTTGAGCCCAGGAGTTTGAGGTTGCTGTGAGATAGGCTGATGCCATGGCACTCACTCTAGCCTGGGCAACAAAGTGAGACTGTTTCAGAAAAAACAAAACAAAACAAAACAAAACAAAAAACCAGGCCAAACATCTCACAGGGGTGGGCCTTCAGGAGAAACAGACCTGTCTTGGAAGTACTGAGTTGGGACACTCCTAAAGAAATGCTCTGCTCAGAAGATACCACCTCATCCACCACTCCATGCTAACAACCTAAAAGCATGAAATGCTGGTGAAATGCACATTGACTTTGGTGGGAAGGGGCAGCTCCTGTACAAGTGTGTGTATGCCAAATCCAGGAACAAGTCCATGGGATCATCTGCATTACAAGGGAGGTGGGTTGAGGCTGAAGCTGCCTAGCAATACTAAGGCTAAATGGAAAAATTGTCTTCCATGCAAAAAAAAAAACAAAAAAAAAAAAACTAAGGCTATACAGATCACAGAATGGGGAGAGCTAATGAGGGAAAGCCACACGATGATGTGTGACAGAGAAGCAGGGTCTAAAACTAAATCTTCTGTAAACAACTTCAGAAGAACCTCATCTACTGGTGACATGAGTGCTAGGTAGAACAATGTATACAGGCCTAAGGAAATATGACTGCAATAGAGCAGCTGGCCTTCAAAAACTATTTAACTACACATTTCATGACACAATATATAGAGGCCAATGTTGGAGGGCCCTACAGATGGAGCAGTGGAAAAAACGGATAAGATGTAGAGTCCAGAGACGTGTAGATTAGCCCCAGGCTGGATATGAAACTAAAAGTGACAAGTAAATGACTTGAAAAGTCAGCAAAGTGTGAAAAATGGTGAAGGAAAACCAGTAATGAGCTGCAGCCACTGGCACTGCAACCAAAATGTTCATCAAACAGGCTAGGTTGCTGCTATGACTTAAACCCAGCCTTCACATAATGCCTTTACTCATATGCCACTCTTTAGGGCCAGGTTCCCTCTGAGTTCATCTTGCTATGGCTAGATTCATAGCCATGCTGTGAACCACTGAGGGCTCTCCACCTCACTCTTAAGCTAAACAAATATATGGCACCTGGCTAATATAAAAACTAAGGAAAGGACAGAAGAGCAGCCAGCACTGTCCTATAAAAAAACTCAGCACATGATAGCCCACAGGAAAAAAAGATACAAATATTACAAAGAAAACTTCAGAGGAATGTCTTGTAAGAGTCTGTGGTCCACATAAGTAGTGACTACATCAGTGACAGTAATCCCTGGCACAGGCATAAGGATTGCCAGCTACAGAAAGGAAATAGAACCTGAGACACACAGGAGTTTCAGATCTGGACAAAGTCGCCCAGTCATAGAAGAACAAGCAGGTGGGGGATGCATTAGGGTGACTGCAAAACTCCTCACCCTGAATCCTTCCCTTGAGGCTGCTAAGAAACAGGTGTTGGGGCTGCTCAAGGAGACCAGGGAAGTCCATACACCTCAGCCCTACCAACCACAGACAGAGCCTACCCAGGGAAGTGAGAAGGAAGCAGGTTCTGTCATGAGGACAGGTCTGCTGCTGTGGAAAAGGTGAAAGGCACAGATTAGCTCAAGGCACAGAGATGAGTGTGAGAACCTTACCCAGGGAGGTTATAAGAGCCAAGTTCTCCAGCATCACATCACGGTACAGGCATCTTTGAGCCTCATCAAGGAGACCCCATTCCTCCCAGGAGAAGCACACAGCCACATCTTCAAAGGTCACAGTGACCTGCCAGGATAGAGACAGATGAAACCACAAATCCTCAAATAGAGACAGATGACACGACAGATGAAACCCCTCTCCTGAAGACCCACAATCCCTTTTCCCAACACATTTACCCATGCCCATCCTCTTCCCAAACTCCTCAACTTACGGGAGAAACGATCCTCCATGCTATTGTCCCACTATCCCCTCAAGGGCTCATTAATCACCAGGATAGGCCAGTGCGGTGGCTCACGCCTATAACCCTAGCACTCTGGGAGGCCGAGGTGGGCGGATTGCTCGAGGTCAGGAGTTTGAAACCAGCCTGAGCAAGAGCGAGACCCCATCTCTACTAAAAATAGAAAGAAATTCATTGGCCAACTAATATATATAGAAAAAGTTAGCCAGGCATGGTGGTGCGTGCCTGTAGTCCCAGCTACTCGGGAGGCTGAGGCAGGAGGATTGCTTGAGCCCAGGAGTTTGAGGTTGCTGTGAGCTAGGCTGATATCACGGCACTCACTCTAGCCTGGGCAACAAAGCGAGACTTTGTCAAAAAAAAAAAAAAAAAAAATCACGACGATACAGCTATTAGCAACAGGGATGTGGACAGATACCTAAGCTGGGGGCCTGGCATAGAAAGATCCATCAGGCAATCCTCCTAGAATGCCCAAGGTCAAGTAAGTTTCAATGCCAGGGCCTTGGGGCCATCAGGGTTACTCCTTTTCCAAGTGCACATCATTCTTTAGAATACATATTCATCCTATCTTGAGATATCACAGTCCTAAACCCATGGCCACCACCACCTCACTGCCTCATACCACAGGTCTCTCTCCGGCCTTCCCATATGTGACTTTATTTTAATCACCTCTTCCTCACCCCACTGGTGAGGATGGGATTCCCACCCTAGGGTTATGGGTATGGCCAAACACAAGATACCTGGCACTTAGAAAGATAAAATAGATAGCAGTTTATTAATCACATACACACAGAGCCTGGGAGAGGAGGACAAGACATATGACACAAAGCCACATAGAGGTACAGTCTAGAAAAAAGTGAACAACCATGGTCTGTGGGATGCAGCCTTTGTAATACAAAAAGGGTCAGGTGTGCCCCGGTTCCCACAACTGGTCTGTCTGGATAACTCCCTGGGCCTGTAGGGAGCTGAAATTTGATACAAAGTGATAAGCAAAAATTGTGCCTGGTCCTCTTAATAAAAAGGGTTGTTTGGGGGAAGAGTGGGAAGGGGAACTTGCACTCAAGCCATTTGATGTCATCCCAATTTCACCAGATGTCAATAATACAGATGTACACAATATTGGGTCTTAATTTTAGACCTTACACACAGTAATTTAGCACACAGTAGCTACAGAGCTTGACAATAACAAACAAAATCTAATACAACCCTAGACCTCCATGGCTCCCTCTAGTGGCAGCAGTCCCATATCCTATGAAGGCTCCTTGCTTGACTCCATTCTTTGGCTCAGACTTAAGACACACAAAAACACAAATTAATCTCAAGATACCCATGGCCCTATTGCACTTCTGTGCTGCACTTCCTGAGCCATCAGCAGTTACAACCTTCTTCTGTCCACCTAACCCCACTGAAAGCCCAGCTCATTGGTCAGTAACCCCAGGCCTAGTGACTCTTTGCCCCTAGCATCCTCCAGGTTGAATGAAACAATCAGGCCTCATCAAAGTCATCACGAAATCCTGGTTTATTCCAGAGTGGTAAGTAATAGGTCTGGCTTGAGTGCCATCTGGCCTCAAATATACCTATGCCCCTGCATCCATCTCATATTTACTTTTCCCCTGAAAGCTTGTGCTGCCTGTCAAACTACCCTGTCCAATAATCGATGGCCTCTAACCTCCCTTACCAGTGTTTGTAAAGCCCAATACCATTACCTAACCGAAAGGTCTAATCCTCAGCCCAGCCCTCACTCTCTCCTTCCTGGTCCCCTAATACCTGTACCACCATATCCTAAAGATTAACACTTCTAAATGTGATCCACAGTTAACTCTTGGGTCCAACAATAACCACATTTTGGATGGCTCCATCCTGAATTTCTCCCCAGAATTCCAGAACTGGGTGTTCAATTGCTCACTTAATGCCTCCACTCTGTGATCTCTGAAACATCTCAAGCTATTTATTTATTTATGAATGAATAAATGAATGAATGAATGGAAGGATCTGTTACCAAAGTTGTCGTGCAGTGGCGCAATCGTAAGTCACTGCAACCTTGAGCTCCTGGCCTCAAGCAAGCCTCCTGCCTCCCAAAGGCTGGGATTACAGGTGTGAGCCACCACACCTAGCTCCATCTAACTTTTTTTTTTTTTGAGACAGTCTCACTTTGCTGCCCAGACTACAGTGAGTGCAATGGCGACAGCCTAGCTCACAGCAACCTCAAACTCCTGGGCTCAAGTAATCCTACTGCCTCAGCCTCCTGAGTAGCTGGGACTACAGGCATGCACCACCATGCCCCGCTAACTTTTTCTATATATATGTTAGTTGGCCAATTAATTTCTATTTATGGTAGAGATGGGGTCTCGCTCTTGCTCAGGCTGGTTTTGAACTACTGACCTCGAGCAATTCGCCCACTTCGGCCTCCCAGAGTCCATCTAACTCTTAACATGACCAAATCAAAACTCCTGATGTCCCCAGTGAATACTACTCTTAACACCAATTTTTTTTGATGGAGCTTATATTCTACAGCTGCTAAAACAAAAGCTTATGGGGTCATTCCTGAATCCTGTTTCACTCCCTCACATCCACATTGGAAAATTTAGTTGCCCAAATCCAGACCAGAATGCAACCATGACTCTAGTCCACTAACCCTCACCAGGACTATAGCAGTAGCCTCCATCCTCATCTTCCTTCTTCCTCCCTCAACTCCACAGTTGTTCTCCATTATACAGACAGATGGAGCCTGTTAAGACTTTGGTAAGATCACCTCCCTCTTCTGACCCAAACTTCCCATTACCTTTAGGATAGATACCCTTCTCTAGCAGCCATTACAGCTTTGACTCCTTCCCCCTGCTCATTGTTCCCACCTTAAAAAAAAAAAAAAGGCCCATGGTTTCCTGAACATTCCCAGTGTAGTTTTACCTCTAAATATTTGCACATCCTAGTCCCAGTTCCAGGGAAAACCTTCCACACCCGTTTACACTGGCTGCAGTAATGGGAACACCTCCATAAAACCCCTGGTATGGACTTAGGGCTCTGGGTTTGGAGTTTCTCCAGAGTGCTAGACCCAAGGATCATGGGAATAGCACCTAAGAGCACTAGAAAATAATAATCCAGAGAACGTGGATGGGGGAATGAAGCCACTGAGGGACTTAGAACATCCTCCACTTCCCTACATAAGTTCCATAAGCCCTTCTATAGCCATGGGAACCATGGAGAGAGGCAGGCCTTAGAGGAATGTGTACAGCATAGGACACTACAGGCCTCTGTGTACCCATCCCTGGCCCTGAAATCAGGTGACCTAAGGCTGGCTGTCTTACCTCCCTACCTCAGTGTTCACTGTCACCCCTTTCCAACTGTAGGACTCAAAGAAGATGCAACCTCCCGGAGCCTCAATGTCCTCTTCATCCCTCCCACTTGCTCTTCCTTTGCACAGTCTTTGGGAAAGTTTTAAAACCCTAACTCAGATGGTACCCTTCCTTTATTCAAACCTCTCCACTGCTTCTGAAGTCTTCATGATGAAGACACACCACGGGGCCAGCTATATTCAACGAGTAACTCGGCGGCCTCATATTCTTTGGTCCCTGCAGAAGATGCATCCCAGGTTTCTCGAAACCTCCCAGAGCAGTCGCACCGTCAAGCCTTTGCACGCGGGTCGCGAAGCCTCTCGCACTCCCCCTCCCCCCGCACCCAACCACGCTGAATGTCAGAAACCGGGACTCCACCCGCGAGCGCCTCACTGTCGTGGACGCCGGGACTCGGGCTGCAGAGACGTGAGCAGGCGCCCCTCACTCCAGGCTTGAGGACTCGGGTGGGTGAGGACGGGTGAGGTCACAGGAGGCGTCACTCACCTGAGCCGGGTCCCCCCGCGCGGCCGCCGCCATCGCTCTGTGGGCGCAACAAGGACGTGGGCACTGCGGCCCCGATCCGGCGCGGGTCACTCCGGGCGACGACGCCGAGCCTCAGACGCTTCTGTGCAGCGGGGCTCTCCTCGTGCCTTCTCGGCCGCTGCGCTTTGGGCACGACGCAAGGGCTCCGCGGCCTCCGACCTGGGAACACGACTAGAGAAGCCAAAATGGCCGCGGCGCGCAACACCCCGGAGGTCCCGCCCCCCTTTGTACCGCACGCGGAAACTGCTATTTTCTGAGCCCCCATTGGCTCAGCCGTACTGCTATTCAACGCAGAGCATTCTGGGTAAGTGCAGTTCCGTTAGGCCCAGAGGTGGCGCCTCATGGTGCTCCCCACCAACCTTCAGGAGTGAATACTTGCTCATTGGTCTCCTAATTTTTGCCAAAAAAAAAAAAGAAAAGAGAAATAAAGTAAATATTTTAAATTTTTAAATATTAATAAAAAAAGGAGTGAAAACTGAGCTCCAGGTAGGGGAGCATTGGGAGATGGCTTATCCGGGTCCCAAGTCAGAAGATCTTTTCCCTTTTTTTTTTTCTTAACTTTTTTACTTTTTACATTTTTTATAGCGTTTAAAAATTTTTTATGACAGTGATGTGCCATTTGGACAGAAGGTCTTTTCCCTTTCTAAAATGAGTCGTAATCCCAGACGACATGTCTGAGGAGTGCTGTCTGCAACTGATAGCCCAAGTACACGTATCATTCATTCCATAAAGCCATTCACACACAAAATGTATCTGCTCGTAGGGAAGCCAATAAACACTCTCATTGCAGTTTAAATGCAAGCATTCTGAAGCATAGAAGTCAGTTTGTCAGTCTGTGTATTTTTTGTCAGGGACCAGAGAAAAAATATTTCAGATAGTGACATGGTAGTGCCTCTGGAAGATAGGGTGGAAATGTTGGGCTTCTCTAAAGCAGTAGTAGTGCAAAGGTGAAATTCTTTCTATGGTTCCCACAGAAAACATCTCTCATGGTCAATTATTGTGTCCAATTCATTGAACAACACTTTTATCCATTTAATAACTTTTACTTGATATCTGAGGTATATTCAATTACTTTTAGGAGTCTAAAATCAAGCTCATAAAACGAACAATGTAAGAAATGCTATTAATATTTTAGTAGGGTAAAAAGCAGGTAAATGGGGCTTTTTTTTTTTTAAGACAGAGTCTCACCTTGTTGCCCAGGCTACAGTGCCGTGGCATCAGCCTAGCTCACAGCAACCTCAACCTCCTGGGCTCAAGCAATCCTTCTGCCTGAGCCTCCCGAGTAGCTGGGACTACAGGCATGTGCCACCATGCCCGGCTATTATATAACATATATATAATTATATATATAAAAATATAAATAATTATATAAAAATATAATTATATATTATATGTATATATTAGTTGGCTAATTAATTTCTTTTTATTTATAGTAGAGATAGGGTCTCGCTGTTGCTCAGGCTGGTCTCAAACTCCTAACCTCAAGCAATCTGCCCTCCTCGGCCTCCCAGAGTGCTAGGATTACAGGCATGAGCCACCACGCCCAGCCAATGGGGCTTCTTAATAAGAAAAATGGGGAATATACACTTGAAGGAGGTGAGAGATGAGCCATGTGGGTATTTGTGGAATAAGTTCCAGGCAGAAAAAACAGGTGACTAGGTGACCTGGGTGGTTGGAGACTTCACAGAGCTCCTCAGCAGTGGAGAGCCTGAGACTCCAGCCCAGAGGGTCTTTGCTCACTGCATAGACACTAGGCATGTCGAGGAGAAACCTCGGCTTTGCCCCTTGGAATCTGCAAATCTCCACCATGTTAGGCTGGGGCCTGGAAACAGGCACCCTCATCTTTTCTACAACCCTGGTTCTTTTAGTTCGATACTGGAAGGCTGGTGGCAGGGGCCCCCTCCCCTCCCTAGATGAAAAAAGAAAACGCTTAGTGACCTGACCTGCCAAGGACAAACTGCCAGGCCCCACTGAGAGGAACCACACCCAGATCTCCACCTGGATTCGCTCCTGGATTCCACAATACCTCCAGCCCCTCCTATTTCTCAATGACCTTCCAAGGTCACAATAGAGAATCCCAGCTCTTCTCGCCACGTCCCTAGCCCCGCCCAAAGGGTATAAAAGGCCTCAGCCCCTTCAAACTGCGGTGACTTCTGGGGCCCCCGCTCTTGGGGCCCCAGAACCTCGTCCACGAGTGTATAATAAAGCCACGTGGTTTGGCCCCCCTACTCTTTCTCTTTCTGTGTCTCTTCTTTTCGCCACCTGTTTAAAAAGCTTGAGGACTATAAAAACCAATGCTTGTGTTACCTGGGAACTCATGGGAAATGCATATTCTTAGTCCTGAACCCAAGCCTACTGAACCAGACACTCTGGATCAAGCCCAAGAATCGATGTTGTAACAAGTTTCCAGATGATTTTTGATAAGCATTCAAGAAATTTCCATCCTTCTGATGTGATACCTGTGGAACTAGGTGACTGCATTTCTTGAGATTAACAGGAATTTTGTATAAATCTGCATTTAAAGTGGATTAGTACATATTTGTTTTCCTAATACAAAAAAAAATTATATGGAAGATGGAGGGGAGAAAAAATAAAAAGAAAAACATTATAAGGCCGGGTGCGGTGGCTCACGCCTGAGCAAGAGTGAGACCCCGTCTCTACTAAAAATAGAAAAAATTGATTGGCCAACTAAATCCCTGCTTCTTTACTTCAGGAAGAAAATAAAAATTGGCCAACTAAAAATATATAGAAAAAATTAGCCGGGCACGGTGGCGCACGCCTGTAGTCCCAGCTACTCGGGAGGCTGAGGCAGAAGGATCGCTTGAGCCAAGGAGTTTGAGGTTGCTGTGAACTAGGCTGACGCCACTGCACTCACCTTAGCCTGGGCAACAAAGTGAGATTCTGTCTCAAAAAAAAAAAAAGAAAAGAAAAGAAAAGAAAGAGGATGGAGAACAAAGAGGAATGCCTAATTCAACATGACCTTCATAAACCTAGATACATGAGGTGGACCAGCTGGCAGGGCAGGACATAGCTGGGATGATGAGGTATGTCCTCGACCTCATGGCAGGCACTGTAGCTGACTCCCAACCCTTGGCACAGATTCCCCAGCCTCCAGGCCCACATACTGGCACTATCTGGTCCTGGTTCTTGGTCCAACAGACCCCTGAGAGTGGCAGGATAGGTACAAGATGCCCCCAGGTACTGCCATGGAGTTTTCAGTGACCTTGGAAATGGGATCTTTGGGGATCTGGGAAAATCATTATTTTAGGCCTGGCTCCTCCCCTACAGTTTGTCTGCATGAAACATGCAGACAATGAAATACAAAGCAGTTGTTTAAAAAGAGCCAGCTTTATGTCTAAGTGTGGAAATAGAGAGATATCAGGTGTAAAATGAGAAAACAGTGTTACCTTGTCAGATATATATTAGCAAGTGAGAAAAGTAAAGTGCAAATCTGTATACAACATATCACTTTATTTTTACTAAGAATATCGATTTGTACAGGAACATATTTGGGCATATTATTAAAAAGAAAAGCTTTAAAATAATTAAATTTAGCAGTTTCATTGAGCAAAGAATGATTCATGAATTGGGCATTACTCTGAGCCAATGCAGGTTGAGAGAGCTCCTCCAGAAGTGTGAACAGCAAGTTTTTATAGATGGACATAGAGGCAAAGTAAACAAATTGGTTGGCTACAGCTAGGTATCTGTCTTACTTGGACTTGGTATGATGAATTGGTTGCCTGTGATTGAATGAAACCTGGGGGTTTGTGATTTGCTGAAACTTGGCTGCTTGTTTTACCCCTATGTTATGGTTCAGTCTTTTTTTTTTCCCTTTGGTTTTTTTTTTCTTTTTTCTTGTTGTTGTTTTTGTTTGTAGAGATGGGGTCTCACTATATTGCTCAGGCTGGTCTCCAAATCCTGGCCTCCAGCAATCCTCCTGCCCTGGCCTCCCAAAGTACAGGGATTGCAGGTGTGAGCCACCACATCCAGCCAACCTCTATTCAACGCAGAGCATTCTGGGTAAGTGCAGTTCCGTTAGGGCCAGAAGGTGGCGCCTCATGGTGCTCCCCACCAACCTTCAGGAGTGAATACTTGCTCGTCAATTGGTCTCCTAATTTTTGCCAAAAAAAAAAGAAAGAGAAAATAAAGTAAATATTTTAAATTTTAAATATTAATAAAAAAGGGTGAAAACTGAGCTCCCAGGTAAGGGGAGCGTTGGGAGATGGCTTATCCGGGTCCCAAGTCAGAAGATCTGTTTCCCTTTTTTTTTTTCCTTAACCTTTTTTACTTTATACATTTTTTATAGCGTTTAAAAATTTTTTATGAACAGTGATGTGTCCATAGTTGGACAGAAGGTCTTTTCCTTTCTAAAATGAGTCGTAATCCAGACGACATGTCTGAGGAGTGCTGTCTGCACTGATAGCCCAGTACACCGTATCATTCAATTCCATAAAGCCATTCACAACACAAAATATCTGCTCGTAGGGAAGCCAAATAAACACTCTCATTGCAGTTTAAATGCAAGCATTCTGAAGCACTAGAAGTCAGTTTGTCAGTCTGTGTATTTTTTGTCAGGGACCCAAGAAAAAAATATTTCAGATATGACATGGTAGTGGCCTCTGGAAGATAGGGTGGAAATGTTGGGCTTCTCTAAAGCAGTAGTAGTGCAAAGGTGAAATTCTTTCTATGGTTCCCACAGAAAACATCTCTCATGGTCAATTATTGTGTCCCAATTCATTGAACAACACTTTTATCCATTTAATAACTTTTACTTGATATCTGAGGTATATTCAATTACTTTTAGGAGTCTAAAATCAAGCTCATAAAACGAAACATGTAAGAAATGCTATTAATATTTAAGTAGGGTAAAAAGCAGGTAAAGGCGTTTTTTTTCTAAGACAGAGTCTCACCTTGTTGCCCAGCTACAGTGCCGGGCATCAGCCTAGCTCACAGCAACTCCAACTCCTGGCTCAAGCAATCCTTCTGCTGAGCCTCCCGAGTAGCTGGGACACAGGCATCGCGCCACATGCCCGCTATTATATACATATATATATAATTATATATATAAAATATAAATAATTATATAAAAAATTAATTATATATATATGTATATATTAGTTGCTAATTAATTTATTTTTATTTATAGTAAGAAGAATAGGGTCTCGCTGTTGCTCAGGCTGGTCTCAAACTCCTAACCTCAAGCAATCTGCCCTCCTCGGCCTCCCAAGAGTGCTAGGATTACAGGCATGACCACAACCGCCAGCCAAGGGCCTTCTTAATAGAAAAATGGGAATATACACTTGAAGGAGTGAGAAGATGAGAACCATGTGGGTATTTGTGGAATAAGTTCCCAGGCAAGAAAAAACAGGTGAACTAGGTGACCA